GGGCATCCTGGTTCTGGGTCAACAATAGGGTGGTAACCCCAACCAAGGACCAAACCCTGCCGTCCGCTGTGGCAAAATGTTGACCCATACCCACTTCAGTTCCACATCGGACACCCCACATTGCACGACTATGCGTGCGCACCAGACTTGGACATGCGTAAATACAGGCCTCGCCACGACTACGCCACGCACATGGACCAACGCAAATCTCCGAAGGACTCATCGAAAGTGGGGCTCAACCCAAACTCAGCATAGGTGTCCTTTTAGGGGAAATAGATGGCCCTGGATGATTAAACCACCAGGTAAACCAGGAATCGCCATCTATTTTTCTAGCAAAACAACCAAAAAGGACACCTATGAAACGGGGCCTTAGAAGCACCAGCAAACAATGGGCTGTTTCACAGCGCTCCAAAAGATTTCGTGTGCTTGTCGTGCTCCTCAGCAGGGAATGACCCAGGGTGTTGGCAATGAGCCCAATATCCCCTTAAAGAAAAGCACAAGGGATGGTTTATTTATAGGTCATTGCCTCGTTCCCTGCGGAGATTCACACGTTTTCCATTGCAGGTCCATTTAAACTCGGAGGGCTTTCCAGAAAGCAGGGGTGGCAATTACAGTGACTTTCCAATGAATTCCAGCGAACCTGCCGCAATGCCAATGAAATTCCTGGAAGGCAAGTTGCCGGAATTTGACCTTCACCCACCCACCCGCCAAAAACACCCCCTGAAGCCATGCTAGTTTCTAAGACTTTTCTAAGACCAAAGCCCCAAACCGTCAAGGACAGAGTTGCCACTTGCCCGAACCCTGATCCGTTGCGAGTCTTGTGGCGAACCGCCAACAGGTCCACAGGACTTCACGTGAACCGATTCACAAAGGAGTTGCTGAAGGCTACTTCGCGCGCCTGGCATTCCAGGAACTGCAAGTGAATCGGGATTCCTGGAAGAATGCGGTGAGGTCCAATGCTCGCTTCTGAGTATTGGGTACGCGGCCTGCACAGGTTCATCATTGATACCCCTGTTTGGATGCACGTTACGCATGGCTGCCCTCCCCCCAACAAGCATGAAAGTGAACGGGCCCCTTGTGCAAGACGAGCTTCATTTTGGACAGGGGTTTTGTGCACTGGCGTTTGGTGGAGGGAGGGGGGTAGATATTTGGCTTGCCCTCCGACCTAACATGGAACCCAAATGGTTCTTTTGAGAGGATGCAGGGTCTTTCATGGACCTCCAGCTTCCATATCTGCTGTATATCTCACTTGCCCCTGGGACCCAGAAAGAAACGCCGATCACCTTTTGGGACCTTGACGAAACATGGCCCAAGACAGGAAAACCAGAAGGTCAAAGGCTCAATCTTGGACTGAGATATAGCAAGCATCGAGCACCCTGAGCCCAGTGCGGCGAAGAGCAAGCCACATCGGAAGAGCCAAGCTCTTGCAGCCTCAAAATGGAGTCGCAACATTGGTTGTCCTTTTGGTTTCACTGTTACCCCGGGTTCATGACTTTTTAAGCTGGGTGGGAACTCCCTTGAAACCAACCATGTTCAGCTTCCCTTTGTTTTGGTGGGTTGGAGGTTGGTGGTTTGGCGCTTGGGCTCTAATTTCCCATTTACCTTCTGCAAGAACCAAGGATTCAAATCCCCAAACCACCAATCCAAAATACCAACCAAGGGGAAACTGAGAATAGGTTGTCCAACCCCCTAACTGAAGACAGGGAAAAGGGCTCCCAAGTCTCTGCATGGGATACTGACTCCGCTACGTGATTTCTGCGTGTTTGCCGGCAAAACAAAGCCCAGAAAACATTGCCTAAAACACAAGCACACACGTGCACACAGACCAAACACACAACCGCCAGCCAGCCAGCCAACCAGCCAGCCAACCAGCCAGCCAGCACGCAAGCAAGCAAGCAAGCGAAGAAGCAAGCAAACAAAGCAAACAAAATAATCAAAGCACACAAAACCAGAAAATGCAACAAACCAACCAACCAACCAACCAACCAACCAACCAACCAACCAACCAACCAACCAACCAACCAACCAACCAACCAACCAACCAACAAGCAAGCAAGCAACCAAGCAACCAAGCAAACAAGCAAACAAGCAAACAAGCAACCAAGCAAACAAACAAACTAAACAAACAACAAGAAAGCAAAAGCACACGCGCACGCCCAACAAGGACAGGCGCATGTAAAGGCACAGGAATAGGGACACGCAAGAAGCAAGCAAGCGCGAGCACAAACACACACCCTAACAAGCCCAAGCACGCACACGCGCAGACTCGCGCGCACGAGAACGCACGCACAAGCACACGCCCACACGGCCACACACATGTGTATATATATATATTTATTCTACATGCATATTTGTATTTCAGACTTTCACAAAGCCAAAGAGAGCAATTTGCATTAGTCCAAACAGAGATGCGGACTAGAACGGCTTCAGCGGGAAATTCCATGGGGACCTTCGCAAAACTTCAGTCTTCCAACAACGTCTTGAGAAAACAGGCTCCCACAAAATTGAATCACCCAGATCGATTTGAAACCCTCTTCCGATCACAAAGCTGTGGGCTTTCATCTGTATGCTGGACCCGCCCCTCCACATGTCTTTCCCTCGCCTTGGGGATCAACGGCGTCTTCTTCTTGAGGGTACCCCTTTTTGGTGGTAAGGAAAACCAAAAGGAAGCCACAATTCCAAAAACACACACACACGTAACTTTCCAACCCTTGGTGTGGTAAAACGCTTGCTTTTATTTGAAGCCCATAAAAATGAACAGAACACCAAGCAACAAAAAAAACGGGGGGCATGATCCAACAACTGTAAAGTACAGGGAGCCCTGTATCCCACTTGAGAACCCTCAAGGTTCGCACATCGCAGGAGCCGTGGAGGCCATATGCCATCGGTTTGGTGGACCGAGTGGATGACGTTTCGCGACTCTTTTCGTAGACCCGGTGCTTGAGTTTCCGCGTTGCTCAGCTAAAACGGGGTTGCATTTTCCATGCAAAAAGCCTAGAGAGCAAGGAGCATAGCCAAAAGAAAACCAGCATCTTTGCAGCGGCGCCGGATTCTGGACACATGTGAAACGCGGCAAAAGGTGCAAAATGTTGTCGCACATGTCGCTGAACTGATGGCTCGTAGGCAGCTGGTAGGTACCAGTAGGTAGGTCCTCCGAGGTAACTTGAACTTTGGCCCAGCGGATGCTCAGTAAGATCAACCCAGAACAACTTGAGCTTGGTTTCCGCTTTCTCTCTTGGTTGAGAAGTGGGAACTGGGAGTCAGAGAGTCATAGGTTGCGTTGGCACATGTTTCTCACCTTGAGCCGGCAAGTGCAGCTGCTCCAGTAATTGCGCAATAACTGCCCGTGGAAAAGGGGGCCCTTTTTGCGCGGGGCGTCCCCGTGACAATCTCATCCCTTGTGAGAGAGGGTTGCTTTTATATCACGGAAAGTCTCAACCTACAAACGAACCTCTGCACACACATGCTGCTCGCGTGCTGGCGTCTTTAACAGCGAAACGCGCCCCAACACCCAAACTTAAGGTGAGAAGGAAGCACGGGGTGAGACCAAAAGAGCCCAGTGAATTCTGTTACCCCTCCGGGGCCATGCAACCGTGACGCGTGGCACTTTGGCGCCTTGCGGTGAGCATGCCGAGAAGCGCTCGAAGCAAACCCAAAGGGCTCTGGGTTGCTGTTGACCCCTCTGCAAAAAGCGAATAACGTTTCGTGGCTCCAATTCGGAAAATCCACTGTTTCTCAAAACCTGAGATGGTAAAAGTCGAAAGATTCCACCAAATGACAACTGAGTTGTTCGTTGACAGAGTGGGTATGCTCACCACCTGTACAGGGCAGCATGCCAAGGCCTTCCTCCGTTCTCACCTGCGCCAGTCGCTTTTCAGCCACAACGGGCGTTTCTGCGGACCGGTTCGCTCTTTTCAACCCCTGCCAACCTATTTCCAACATCAACATGTTTCTAGTTGTTCAGGCGAACATGCGTGATTGGACTATTCTGATTCCAGAAGAGCAAGAAGGGGTGTCCCATAAAGCAAAGGCAACTGGCTTGAAGCCTGCGGCAACCCCTGGGCGGTACAAACCATATGTCAGAAGGATTTTGGGGGTCGTGTAGTTTTTTTTTTAATGCTTTGGGCGTGTATCGTTTTGTTCGGGGCGCTAGTGTTTGACAGCGTTTTGCAGAAACATTGGTTGCTGTTTCGCGCAAGCAGCTCGCCGCTGGGAGAAGAGTAGGCTTGGCGCGGCACATTGGTTCATTGGCTAGACATATTACTCGGGGGGAGGCATCGAACGGATCTCTGTCGTATTTCTTAGAAGTACCTTTTTGTTGTTTCTGCGCCTTTTCAAATATGGTGCACGTTTTTCGCATTCTTTGGTGTGGTGTTGGAAGTTGTTGTTCCGAGCCTCGCTTGGAGTCGCTGGAAACCACTGAGACTCGCCCAAAGGCCTCAAACCGCCTCAAATTAATCTTGGTTGACGTTGGAAGCGGAGCAAAAATATAAATTCTAGCAGCTAAGCGGGGATTTCCCACTAAACCACAATAAGCAAAAATGTAAAATGTTTCCTAACAAGAACCATGTAATGATAATGGCCGCCAAGATCGCCCGGCTCCCTGTGAAATCAACTCGTTTCACCAAAGTCTGGTCTCTCGGGCCACCTCGTTTGGTCTGCTCAGAACATGATGTGGAGTCTCCATGTTTTTATTATCAAGATACAGGGAAGTAGAAGAAAGCAGGGGCCCCGCCATCTTTTAGTTGGACCTAAGCGGAGACAACGATCACCTGCCAAAGGAAGGTTCCCTCATTCGGGCAAAACAACGCCACATCTTTCATGAGTTGTGGAGCAAAAGCAGCACCGACCAGGACTAAGCGGGACACGCTCAAATCAACCCCCTTTGTGAGGTTGCGACTGGATGCAATCCTGATGTATGAACGTGAAAATCCCATGGCTGACTTCTGGCACCGCTTGGGAACTGGACTTGCAAGGCGCAAAGCTGCCCCTTGCGCCTTTCACTCGGTCGAGGCCCCGTCTTGCAGCTCCAAGACCTTGAGGCGTTCCGGGCGTTTCACGCACATGAAGCCGGTCCTCTAAAATGGCACGGGTCTTCGTGGCCTCGCGGTTCCACCAAGCACATCCAAGCACAAGCTTTGGGATGTTTGCGTTTGGGCTCCGAAATCGGTTCGAGCAACTCCCAAATGGAAAACGTCAAGCCACCCCCACCCCAACAGAAAGACTCAGGGTCAAAGGCCACCGGCAAGGTGGCCGTAAGGCCCCTTGGGCCATTGGGAACCTCCAGCTCGCACCGGACATTCGTGCAATGCGCCAGGGCGGGTTTTGAGCCCGTTTGGCGTGCTCACCCGCGCTTTTCTTTCTGCAGAGGATTGTTCCCCCCCCCCCCGGGTTTCATTCAATGGCCGACCACTTGCAGCCACCTAGCGAAGCCATGGGGTGGGTACCGGGGGTACCGTAGTTCAAGGACTCAAGGCCCACGTGGCTGAGCCCGTGCTGCTGAGTGGAAATTTGCGGGCGGTTTGCGGTCAACATGGGGTACACTTTTCTGCACCGACAACTTTGGACCGGAGGTTGCATGCTTTGACAAACTTGCTGCTGCATGACGTCGCAAAGCTTCCTTTCGTCTGTCAAAGGGAGCCAGTTGCGGCAAACATTGCGGCCACGTTTCAAGCTTCTTGGCCCTTGGCCAGAATGATGAAGCAACATGCCACCAAAAAGTTTGCACCTATTCAGATTCATTTTCAACAGGTAAGCCTATATGCTTCTTACATGCGCAACCCCAAGATGCCGGCAACCCCAACATCCGCTGGGGGCTGCGCATCGCTTGTCGCGAATGTCCTCAGCAGGCAAGTGAGCGCTAAGATGGCGGGCGTCGGGAAAACACACAGAAACTACCTACCTAAACCATCAAACTACCCATTAAAAAAGATAATTCACCCCATTCATTTGCGACCATAACCAATTTTGAAGGGTATTTGAGGGTCCAGTAGCTTGTCAAATTGCTACTATTCCCAAGCGCAGAAGTCAGGAACTGCTGGTACCTCCGAAATAAATTCTCTTGTTGACGACATTGATCCGGGGAGGTCTACGGAAAGATGACTGACCATTCCAGTTTGGGTCTGCCTTTGAGGCTCGGTACCCTTCCTGCAGTTGCTACGGCAAGGAAGCCAACAGAAAACCCATGCATTTTTGTGGGTCTTTTGAGACCGCACCATGATTTGGACTTCTACCCGGCGCTGAAGCAGCTCGCTGCATTGATGCGGAAACATCCGGGGGAGGGGTTGACTGAACTCTGCGGCAAATCAACCTGAAACCAAAGCACAACCTCCTGCGTTGGGCGCACAAAACGCCTGCTTCTCTATCGTAAAACCAAGCCATCCAAATGAGCCTCCAAACGAACCTGGGCAACCCCAAAATTGCGCCAGAAGTCCTGGTGCAAGAAACAGATGCTGTGAGAGGTCCTTGCACGGCTCCTTCTTTCAGGTTGGAAGCTCCTTTGCAAAATTGCTACCTGCCTTCCTTTTAGAGATCACTTTTAGAGTTCCCTTCTGTCATCAATTCCAGGGAGAGTACACCAAGTTTGGGCCCACTAGTTAAAACCTCGGTTTCAACCACTAGGGGGGAAGTGAGCTGTTCGTGTCCAGAGGGGCCCTTCGCCTCGCTCGAGGCTCGCCGACGCTGGCCGGGGCCCCCGACTGCTCGCGCCTCTTCTGGGTAAGGAAGCCCTTGGCCGCGGGCAAAGTGGCGCTTGCGAACTCGAGCCTTGGCGCCGGCAACCCCCGCCACCTCACCCTACCTTTAGTTGACGTTGGACGGGGAGCACAAACAAGGAATTTTAGCAGTTAAGTGGGGATTTCAATCACTAAACCACAATAAGCAAACATGCAAAATGCTTCCCAACAACAACCATGCCAGTGGATTTCCACGGCAGAAACCGTGGGGGGAGGGGGGGGGGCTTGCTTTTGGTTGACTTGACCTTAAAGGGATTCGCCCCTTCCAAACCTGGATGGCGAAAGATCCCCGATCTAAAGTTCAACTTGCTGTTGGAAAACCCAAGGATCCAAGCCACTAGGCGTTTCGCCTGTGAGCCCTTGAGCGGATTCTACCAACACCCGCCAGAGCCTGTCCAGGGTGCCCCGACAGGGAACCAAGGGAAACAGTGGTAATATCTGGTATGCAATCCGGGTCGCCTGCAGTAGCAACTAAAATATGTCAGATATGTCTGATATTGGCGTTGGGTATGTTACACAGTACATGCTGCATGGTCCTTGGTGCGATGTATCGGGGCCTTTAGCAAAATCCCAAAACACGATCCATCAATGTGAATGGTTCATCGACACACATCTTTAGAATAATCAACTCACTTGTCCAAAGGACTCAACTGTGAAGATACGTCCAGCAGTAAAACCGTTTCCCTTTAAGCCAACATTTTTGTTTGAACAACATGTCAGCAAATGGGTGTGTCTTTTGTTGAGGGTGCCCCTTTGTTGTCGCTTGTAAAGGGAGGTCCGAATCCCCACCGTACAAATTTTGAACCTGGGATTAAGCAGGCCAGTTGGGGGGGTGCTACCAGGCTTTGATTCTGGCTCACCTGGCTTGTGGCAGGCTCTTCTCCTCACTTCCTGGACTGGCCAAAAACCAGCCCAAACCTTTCATTTGCCACTAAAATGGAAACCAACCCCCGAAAGTGACTCAAGTCCAGTTGAACTCGGGAAGTGAGACTAAGCTTCCCCAACTACGCCTCATGTTGCCTCCGCGTAGCCGCGCCGAAGTCCGATTCACGGCCGGGACATAGAGAAAAAATCCGCTTTCTAGCGACGTCTCGGGCTCCCGAAATGGGTATGGTTCAAAACTAAGGCAAAGAGAACTGGTCTTAGTCCACGCGTCCATTTGCCAGGTTCCATTTTGGGGTGCCTATTTTTGATCCACAGCCAAATAATGGATTCTCAAGAAAAACAAAATCTTCGTCCCCCCCCCCCCCCCACCGGCCCACCGGTGAGCTCGCAAAAAAGAAGAAGAAGAAAAACGCCCAGGGCTGCCGGCAGCTGCCCAAGCAGCTTCTCCAGCAGCTCGGAGTCCTCCGACCTGAGCTCGGCTCGGAAGTTCTTCTCTCCGATGCTTTGATCCTTGGCTGTGGGTCAAAAACCGGGTAACCCCAAAATGGCTTGCCCTGGTAAGTGGAAACATGGACGAAAACCTGCAGTTTTCGGGCGTTTTTTTTTCCCCCTCTAAGCAAAAATCCTTTAATTTTAAAGGGTCAACTGGGAAAACCTGGGTTTTGGGCAAGTTTTGGAAAAATAAGGGTTTTCCAGGGAAAAACCCGGTATTTCACTTACATCCTTTATTTTGGCACTTTTCTCAAGTGAAATGTCGGATGTTTGAAGAACAGAGCAAAGGTGCCGGATCTCGAGCAGGTGTTGAAAGGAGCCGCCAGGTTTCTTTCACTGCCAAATTGTATATTGGGTTTCTAGATGTTTTTTGGGAATCTCTTGTGGTTTCCTTTTGTACCGCCAAGTGCGCGATAGCCTCCTGCTCCTCAAAAGGCAGGGGTAGACGCGAGGGCGTGGTCAACCAAACTCAAGAATGAAGCGGGACAACCAACTTGAATGTACAAGTGTGCAGTTCACTACATGACCATCAGTAGCTCTGCGTGATTGACACATCATGCTCAAGCATGGTACTTTGTTTTGTATTTTTTAAACATCAGGCAGTATCCCAAAGTGGCACTTGCATTCGTTACTCGGCTCAGCGCACAAGCCAAATGCCAACAAAGCTGGCCTCCGCCTAAGTCGCACTTTCTTCCAGCACCTAACTTTGATTCGATGGGAAGCACAGTCCAAGCCAAACATGTTGCGTAGTACGTGTTTGTGCCCCGAAAACCTTCGGATCTTCTACCGCAATGTCATACAAAACCAGTTCGCTGCTCGCGCGATCTAGCTGTGTGCCCGTGTTTCTTTGCTGGAAAGCTTCTGGAAGGGCGAGCGCGTGCGAAAAAAAAGGAAACCCATAAAAATCCCATACGAATCCCATAAAAATCCCATACAAACCCATATTTTTCCGAAAACCCGGTTTTTCCTAACCCGTACAAAAACCGTACAAATCCCATAAAAATACCGTACAAACCCGTACGCAATTTATGGGATTTTCAGCCTCTGCTCAAGCAGCTTTCCAGGCCCGAGCTGCCCGAAATAAGCTTGCAAGGTGACCTTGCGAAAAGCAGTCATTCATGTGTTCGTCCCGCGCGTCTTTAATTACCTGCTGTCCTAGTGTTCAAAGTGGGTTAGGTTCTTTTGGCTCGCTCCAAAAATGATGTTCCTGCGACGTTTTAGACAAGCCTGCGAGAAGCTCCGGGATCAATGCTTTAGCACGGGACTTGGTTGTCAAACAAGTGAGCATTTGCAAGACGGCCCTCCAGACGTATCCGACGCGAGCTTTACGCAAACAGTCCCAAGCAGATTGCTCAGTGCCATACACACTATGTATACACGTGCAGCTACCGCTTGCGGTAAACTGGGACTACTTGTTGCCCTTGTCAGAAAGTTCATGTTTAAATTAAACTTCCCGAGCCACGATCTGGGAAGCCTTCCCAACAAATTGCGGATTGACCATTGTTTCGAGTTCAGCAGGTGATTAGCAACAGGTGCCATGCTCAATGAGCTTGCATGGATGGGATTGCTAGGCGGCCGTGGAGCGTTTGACTGGATGTAAGAGAGCCAACAAAAGGATTATATTGAGGGAACCACAATCATAACTCATGCAAGACCATTCTGATTACAACGCAAAAAGTAAAAACCCGGTATTTCCTGGAAAAACCCGGATATTTTGCCATACCTTTAAAATAAACGGATATTTGCTTAGAGGGTTTTACTATTATTATCCATATCCATTTACGGACCCGCATTCTTGGGCACTGCGTGGCTTGCCCAAAGCTTCTTGCACAGGCTTTTCATGCTGTCATCCTTGGCCTCACTGACGTGGGGCTGGAAGGATGGGACCAAGCGACCACGGGGGTGTTCAAAAACATCTCTCAGTGAAGCTTTTCTCAAAGAAGCCCTGGAGACCTAGAAGTAAGGTGAGTTCACCTTGTTGCCCCGAAAAATGGGAACCTAAAAGGGGGAAACCAAACTAGGTCAAAAGGTCGTTTACAGCTTACCTAGACCTTCCAAAGCCAACATATTTCCATGGAACTCCACTCTCCGTGGCTGTTGTTTCCTCCGTTTCGTGGAAAACCCAGGTAGCTTCTTTTGTGGGGGGGGATAAAGGGGGTTACGGCTTTACTTAGCTAATGATTTAGTTGTTGTGTCTTCTTTGTTTGATTGCGGGGGTCGGCTTTGTGGCTGAGGGAGGCAAAGCCTAAGGCAGCGTTTTTTGGGTTGGGGGTGTGTCAAGTCGCCATTCTAGCTCCCTTAAGATGTCATTCCCTTGTGCTTCTTCTTGTGTCCGGGATACGGTTGGGCAATCATGGCGGATTAACACAAGGGCAATTGAGAGAGCAGCAGCAGCGGCGGCAGAGGCTGTAGCAGCAGCAGCAGCAGCAGCAGCAGCAGCAGCAGCAGCAGCAGCAGCAGCAGCAGGTGGTCAAAACATTTGATTCGCTGCATGGGTGGCCCTTTTAGCGGTTTTCTATGCGCGTGTAGGCACACTTTCTTCATAGGAACCTTGTGTTTCCAGCCAATTTTGAGCCCCATCGGCTGATTCCAGATTCGGAAATTCAAAGATACCCGGGAAACCATTGCCGCATGAGCTCCACACCGGAAGCCGGCAGCACCTCGCATTGCTGGGGCGCCGCGCAGAACCCGCACACGCCTAGGGCGGAACCCCCCACACCCTCTTATAAAAACACCGCCAAACAAGAAGCTGCCGATTACCCTCCCAACAATTGACATGGAACCTGACGATCGGGTGGTCCTGGAAGACCATAGGAATTTCAACATCTGAAATGAGCGATCCAAGTAAAGAGCCATCATTGCGAGCTCGTTTTACCTTCCATCATTAGGGCCCCACTACCAACCAGAATCGCAAGCACCATTCTCACTCAAACACCCCTAAGGTTTGCAGAACCTTTCCTTGGGTTGTGGGTCCGGGGGGGGGGGGGGGGAGTGGTTTCCCCACCCTTGCCTTGCGCGGCTTTTCAGACTCAAGCGCGGGCTTGGATCAAAAGCTGAGGTGCCCGCTTGCGTAGCAGGCGCTGCGCTTGCTGCACCTCTTCCACCCCAGCCTGCGAAGGGCGCTGATTTCAACGACTGCACAGAACCGAACATGCGAAAAACCCCCTCTATAATACCAAGACACCTATCATGGTTTGTCAAGGGCTGTAAAATGAACTGAGATGATAGCGATCATTCCAAGTAGACGGGGTGCTTCCCCTACAAAAAGTAGTCTTCCAAAACCCTCCTATCAGCTTCGCCGATCGCTGTAGGGGGGTAAATCAAGAAACAAAATAGTGCCCCCGTTCCGTCTTTGATACCCTTTTGGTTTCGCCCTTTACGCCTAGGAATTCGCCCAATCATGCCATGCTGCATCTACGGGTCCAATACTGTCCAGCCCCAGAAAGTCGTCCAGAGAGACTTCCACTGCCAAGACACTCTAACTCAACTCTTGCCGCCAACTAAACAAATTCATGTTTGACTCTGGAACAATATTTAGCAATTTTTCCAGCCATCCCCCGCCTCACTTCCTGAGTGCCATGTCCCGAAAAAGTTGACTTTGTTAACCATTTTGAAGTACCAAGTCCAGGAACTCGGGGAATGAACAGTTCTCAAACAACTTTTGGCGGCTTCTGATCAATAAACCAACCACCAGTGTCTCTTCTCATTGCTGACTCAAATGCTCACTTGCAGAACCCGGAAAGAGAGAATAACCCGCATTTGCTTAAGTCCCCAGAAAAGAACCACACACATGTCCTGTACTGAAAGCGATAACAATAAAAAGGTCATTTCAGCAAATGGAAGATACTTGGTTGACGTTGGAAGTGGAGCAATAATCTAAATTTTAGCAGTTACGTGGGAATTTCAACCACTAAACCACAGTAAGCACATGGATACGCTTCCCAGGAACGCCTCATGCTACGCCGTCAACTAGAAGTCTCGGATGATTCGTGGCCTCCAAGCTGAGCTCCTCCTTGTCCGCAATCTGGCTGGTTCGGTGGCTACGTCTGTGGCTGCGGTTGAAGCGGCGCCAAAGGAATTTGTTCCGCAAATGGGTGTGTGTGTGTTTTTTTTTTGGGGAGGAACCCTAAAATGGTGGTTGTCCAGGTCGTCAGGCAAATGAGGTGGGCTCAGCACCGAACCATGAACGGTTCATTCCCGGGACCCCTGTTGATTCTCCCTGGACGCGGGGACGAATTGGCAAGCGAACCCTACCGTGTTGATAAATATATTGCTCCTGGATGCGGGCTAGACCTATCTCTCACTTGCCCACACCTAGATAAAGGTGATCACCGTTTGGAACCTTGACTGAGTATATGGACCACATCAGGGAAACCAAAACGTGAAAAGGTCGGCTCGGGCAAGTGAGATCTTCCTCCTGCTGCCAATTCCAAGTTTGGGGCTCAAGTGCCACTGAAACGAAAGGGCGAGCAATCCGCAGCCCCAGATGTTCCTTTTGCGCTGCAGGACAACGTCTTGAGTCTTCTTTGTGACCCCTCAATGTTGATAGTCCGGACGGTGATGCCAACTACACAGTTTTGGAACCCCCTCTAGTTGGCCTCCAGTCGGCGCCTCATTTGTGTCACCCCTCCTTTCTTGGGCCTAGGAACTATATCTTGGAGCCACCTCGAGATGGCAACTTGGCTGACCTCCCTCGCTCGTCCAAGAAAGATGGTTATGGCGATGCCCTCTGGAAGGCCCAAGGACGTCGGCACGAAAGTCAAGCTGGTTTTCCAGCTTTGGTCAAGTCAAATCGATTCGCCAAAAGATGCCAAAAGGGGCAATCCTCAAAAACAACCTACCTACCATGTCAGACGCGGTGCTTGTGGAAGCTCAGAACTTCCTGGAGGTTCTCTTGGAATCCCACCGTGTGTCTTTAAGTGGGCAAAGGTGATGTTTAGAGCCAAAAGGGGGAACGTAGGTTGTCCCCTCCAGAATCACCGGTGTCCCTTTGGTGTCCTGTAAAAAGGCACCAAAAACGGTACCCTCAACAAAGGACACACCGACATGGGAAACCTGGAAATAGAAAACACGCGGGCCTCCACGGCTCGCGCGTAGGCCTCGCGAGGAGTTCTCGACAGGTCTGCTTCTGGTGCCTCCCCCATTCCCAAACAGTACTCTGCAACTAAGCATCTTGCCAGCCCTTGGTATTGTAGCAAAGAGCTTAGTTTCTTGCAGCCCTAAAGATGAGCAGAACCAGCAAACCGAAGGGGACAAAACAAAAAAACACATGCCAGCAGTGGTGAGGCTGAACCCAAGAGGACCCATGGGGATCCTTTTCCTGGGGCTCGTGAGTCGAAAAAACCTCCGAGACTCCAAGCCGCGAGGGCCGACGGAAGCCATCTGTGGCATGAACGACGTCCATGGCGCCACACGCCCCCATAGGAAAGTCCCAGGTTCCTGGTGTTTCCTATGGCCGGCGCCGGCCTCACGTTTGGTGAGGCAAGGACCTGGGTGCCTCTCCGGCGGGCGGAGCTTGTGGATTCTGGGCTGTCCGTTTTCGGATGTTCGGCCCATGTCCTCAGAGAACTTCTGGTGCTCCAAAGGGCCAGCAAAGCAAATTTGGATACCGACTCCCCCCCCCAGCTCCCTTCGTTCGGCCCCTTTCCAACCACCAGCTAGCAAGTGGACCCCCCCACTAAACCAACTAAGATCTGAAACTCACTTCCTGAGTTGATCTTCAAAAGCTAAGTGCGAACTTTGTATTTACCACTACTCATTTGGCCAAAAAAAAAGGTGCACACTGTTTGGGCCACCACTTTTTTTTTAATATAAAAACAAGAACAAATGCAAAGTGGGTGAGACCGCCCACTGGCTGGGTGAGACTAAAATGGAGTGAACTCCGAAGACCCCGTTGACCTGGATGGCTGGGAACAGCTGCAAGAGAGAAAGGGCCCAGCTGCAAGCTGGAGCCCCAAGCCGAGCACTCCATGTCACTCCCGAGGCTTGAGAAATTCCAAGCACAGTATCTCCTAGGGGGGTATCCCGGTTTTTGAATCCTTCACTTTTGCGTGACACCTTCGCTATGAGTTGGATGTTTGATTTGTAATCCGGGGTTCCCATTACATGGACAAAGCAGATAATGCCACGAGCCTGCAAGGCCGGCAGGGAGTCTGGTCGCTCATCCAGCTCCTGTGACATTCGTCCGTGTGGTCGTATGGCTCTGTCTCAAAATAGGGGAACCCTTTTCGGCTGGTTTTAAAGGGAAACCAAGAGGAAAGCAACCACCTACAGGGGTCCCTAATTTTGAGAAACCATATGATATTCATATGATGCCACGGGATCTCATGCAATTTTAGAAATGAGTGCCCGTGCTGATGGCGAATGGGCATTTGAAACTAAGTCATTTCATTGTTTGCGCTGCTTGCAACATGCCTGCACGCATAGGTCAGCAAAGGCAAGTGCCTCAGCTCGATGATTTGCAGCTGGCAATTCGAGATGATAAAGCACATGCTCTTGTCAGTGTGCCGCGCGCTTATGCATACATGCCTTTACCCGCTGAATCGCAAAAGCAGAGCCAACTACCCTTGTCGATTAATTCTGTAAAGCACAAGCTCGCTTTGCACCAAGGTGAGCTTTGCATTGCTGATGCTGCTGAACCTCATTTATGCCATCCAATCGCCAACCTCAATATTGGCCCCTACATCACATCTGCGAGCGCAGCATCATGGAAGGGCTTGTGTGTGCGCACACATCGCATATTTAAAATACATTCCCAACTGAGCATGCTTCAAGTCTTCCTTTCACTGCTCCAAACTCGCCCCAAATTAGGCGGACACTTCTGCGGCCGCTTTGCAATACATGTGCCATTCTGACGTGCATACTGCATACCCCTTCTTCGGGTCTGTGATGGTCTGTCGGGGTGTCCCAATAGCCCAAGCTGCAAACAAGCCCTTCATACAGGCCAGCCTTGCGGCCCCCCCCCACCCCCAAGTTCCCGAAGTGCAGAAACCCAAACACCGGGCAAATTCAATCACTGCTCTTGGTCATTCCTGCCAAATAAAATGGGGGGTAAAAAGGGGATACACCAAAAAAGCCAGATATCCATCACTTGTTGCTTCCTTGAGGCATAGCATGGAGATGATGGGACGCTGACCGCTTCGCTTGGCTTCGAATCAATGGGTATAGTTGGCGCTTACTGCTTCCAATCCCATGGAATCAGATATTGGGATTCTGGCTGGTAGGAAGAAGAACAAAAACACAGTTCTAGTAGTGATAGATTCGATTTAAAGCCAACAAAGGAAACTAACACATGTTATTAAGCAATTGAAAGTGTAAAAGCTGGTCTTTTGGTTGAACATGCATGCCCTTGGGGTTTCTTGTAGGTGGGATGGGCAATCATTGGCCGTTTAGCACACGGTGAATCTTTGGTGGCCCCTCATCCAGGAGTGTTCTTGAATTTCCTTGCGGCTGGAGTTGGCCACGTCAGCTCAGGAAACTTCAAAACCAACTTGGCTACAAAAGGGGTCATCCTTTTACCACTTTGAAGGGGACCAGCTTGGTATACTTCAAGAGGAAATCGAGACTTGGTTTTCGGGGACTAGGAAGTTGCGTCCAAGATCGTCCAAAATTCACTTCCATGTCTCCTCTGCTGGGTCGGATTGAAGGCGCGGAAGGTATTACTACTTCAAAGAGTGTGTTCTCGACAGTAGCACCGTGGATCGCTCAGAGTAATGCTGCACCTAATGCAAGAGCAGCGCCCATCATGTGAAACGGATTAAGAGTCCAGTTATGGAAGCCCTGGAAGAAATGTGGATTGACCCAAGCAAGCAACCCAACCTATTTCTGTTTGTTGCAGAAGTCTTCCCAACAAGTATTAAACACAGTCCAGGAACGCAGAGAGTGAGCCAAGTTGAATGGTGGTTGAAAGAAAACCACCCCAAAAAAGCTAAAAAAGTTCATAGCTCAGGAAGCGCCAAAGATCAGACCGCTGGCTCTCCGACCTACCTGGCTACTTGAGGTCGAAAGGTCCTGGTTCAGCGTTTGCAGTCGCTCCAGCAGCGCGGCAGCTCGGGCCCGGGCCTGTTGAACCCAGTTTCTGCACAAAACACTGGCCCCCGTTCTGGCTCACATCAAGACCGACCTCCAGAACAACTCTTGAAGTTCCAAATTTGCCCAACATCATATTGAGGACCAGTTTCTGCACCATGCACATGTGGGCGTACATCTGACTAGGGGACCCTTGGGTGCACAGCACATTCTGGTGAGTTGGGTTCGCTGAAAGGAAGGGCTCTGCTTTGCCTCCCTCAGGGGGAAGTTCTTATGGGGACTGCTCTCCCAATGAATACTTGGCATAGAACCTGACCGGGGTGCTGGGAAGACCATGTTTCTTTCAACGGGACCATGTGCCTGCCAGGTTCCATCCACTGGTGGAAGGGAATATAGCCCACAAAAGCCGGTGGTTCGGGTGAAAAGATCTTGGTTTCGTATCTGCCCGTAGGCTTGGTTGACGTTGAACCGGGAGCAACAATTGAACAAACATAGCAGTTCAGTGGCGATTTCAGCCACTAAACCACAATAAGCAAACATGGGAAACATGTTTCCCAACAACCATGCTTGGGTCTCCGGAAAATGTTGGATCCCAAAAAAAGGATCTTTACCATGAGCTCATTTTCCCACCCCCCTTTCCTCACCTAGAATCTTGGATGCTACCCCTAGCACCGGAAGTGGCTCACAGGGGCCGTGTCCATCTGGGACGCCTGAGGTCCAGGCGGTGTCCTGGAGCAGCGGCCAAACGGCCGCCAGCACCAGGCCAGGTACCTCCCGAGACCAGTGCAGGGTGGCAAAGGGGATGGAGGAACATGGAGAGATGAAGGTGAACTAAGATCTGCGACCTTTGGTTTCATCTCCATCAAGGTTTATAGGTACTCTATAGTCTCCATGTTGGGGACATGGGTCGAAACCCAAATCGTACCAGTGAACATCGGATTCAATCCAACCACTAAAATCTCGGATCGAACATGGGTGGTGAATTCACCTACCAAGCAAAATGGGATCCCAAAACGGTTTTGACCCACAGCCACATTTGCGGTTAGCGCCCTGGAAAAATGAAAACATATTTCCAGCAGTGATAGATCCCTTTGTAACAACCAACAGGGGAACATTTTTCAATCTTCTTGAGCAAATCGAAGGAGATTGCTGCAGTTGGAGGTGGTTCTAGCCATAGGTTCAACCTCGGTACGCGAATGGAAAGGGAACCTGGGAACAAGTTGATATGTTCATGTTGGCGGCTGGTTCTCTGGCCACCAACCACTTACCTGAACTGCACAAACAAATTTGGCAAGGAGGGTGGTCCTCTTGCCACGTTGGGACCTCCAAAAGGAACTCCATACTTCTTTGGGAGACCAGGAATTTCGTGCAAGATGATCTGAAACTCACTTCCTCAGTAAATTGACCAAATCAGTCGGACCTTTTTGTTGATACTGAAGTCTTCCAAACAAGTATTGAACACGGAGAGTGAGTCACGTTAAATGTTTGTGAACGAACTTGATGTTTGCTAGTACAGCTAGCTCACGCTGCAGGATTGAGTGCACGGTGTCACCTCACTCAATTTTCAGGAACGGCAAGCCGTGGATCGACACTCCTTTGGAGTGCCCAAGTTTTGGGTCGGAGAAACGGCCCATCACCCGCCTATCTCTCGAGCGTCAGGGGCGAGCCCGGATTCCAAGCCTGCTTTACAGGCCGCCTGTGGGGGTCTCCGCGGCATCTCTTTGTAGCATCGGTATCTGTGTCCCTAACCGAATGTCAATAGAGAAACCAGCGCACCAGGAAAATCTCGGGACGTTTGCACGCAACCCCAACTTTTTTGTGGGTATGTTGCAAAAATCCCGTAGAGTCTCCTGTAGCTGGTTCCTATGATGTCCATACATGTCCATACCGCGGCAGAGTACCCCATGACCAAGGTGTGACTAGCCCGAGCGTTAAGTGATCTAGGCCAGCGTTTGCCAGCACTGCTCCAGCGAAATGATTGGCACCCTGCCCTTTTATGGCAACGGCACCACTCCTTGCATTTACCAATGTACAGTTCGGCGATCCTCGCTACTCAGTCTGCTCCTCCTCGTTTCCTCCCAGCATTTTGGCCTCAATGGCCCCTGCTGAGGCAACGTGCAACGTGGAAAAAAAAAGGGGAAAAGCGAACAGCGTAGGCTTTTTGACAGCCACAAGGAAACAAAACCTGATTGAAAGGGACCTGAAAGGTGAGGTGTTCTTTGAGTAGTGGGGTTTCTACTCCCTTTTGCGGACATCGAAATGTGGAGAGACCAGCAATCCCCGCGCCATGCCCTGAATCATGCCGTAAGCATATTCAAAATGAACCTGCCAGGTGCCACTGGCAGAGGCCGAGCGGCATGTTCTTCATCGTCCATGTCCTTCATCATGCGCGCCAGCATCATAAGCGAGGATCTGATCCTGCGATGTGAATTCTCTGAGTGCTAAGCCCTGGTTTTAACATGCTCTTGATTTACCTTTCTCCAAGAACCCTCCGCTCATCACGGGAGGGTTGGGCTATGCTCAAGGGGCACGTTGGAGGGTTCCTCGATTTTGGGTTTCCCTAAGTGGTTTTCACTAGGTCCTTTTTTGGCCAACTCTTGCCGGCGATCGGTTTTTCTTTCGGAATCTGTCCTCTTCCAGCGCTCGCGGATGATATTCCGCACCTGAGTGGGCGGGCTGCTCTTTTGCCCCGCGGGAAAAAATGACTTGCTGGTTCTCAGGGAATGGGACATGGACTGACCCTGACAAGCCATCCCTTGCTGGTGGTTTCATCCCACAGCCCCTAGCGAACACCAAGATGAGAATATATTTCCATTTATAGATTCCCGTTGAACCCAAAAAGGCCAAGAACATATTCTTAGGCAAATAGGAGTATTACAGTATTACATAATCTGTTCATGGCGCAACTTCGTTGGAACGAAGCCCACCATCTGATTCGAAGATGACCTGAATGCTTTCCGGAACTCCGGAAAAGGTGGATCAATCCAAAGTCATTGTGTAGCTGTGGATTTGCAAGGGAAAGATGCACCCAAATAAAACGCTCCTAGCCCCAACCAAAGGACACCAACTGAGTCGCAATCAAAACCTGGTACTAAAATGGTCTACCCAGAACCATGTACAGGATTAAGAAGGCGGCCGCAGCTATTTATGGTTGGGATCGTCCCCTACTAACCTTCATCTACCCGGGTTTTGATTGTGGCTCAACTGGAGCCATACTTCAGATCCAAAGAACTTTCATTGGACACGTGGAGCAGTGGCCGGGGCACCCATGAACCGAAGTGGCAACTTTCTGGAAGCCGACATCATCTAGTCACAAGATTTCCCCAAATCAACAGATCAATGGACTGGTGGCTTCCATTGAAATGATCGCCACTTTTGGGGGTCCCATGTTGTTACAGAACTGGCAGCTCCTTGGCTCCCTCTGCAAAAAAGCAAATTTGGCTCGCGCATCCCAGCTTCCTTCAACAGCTAGGTCCAAAAAGTGCGGGAAACGGAGGGACCCCTAAGAGGCTCATCGCCGAACAAAATTCGATGGATTCAGATCCCGCCTCCGCCTGCGCAAAGTCTACCATCTCATCGCCAGCCAAGTCCTCACACCCGTCCTGTTTCAATCCAAATGGGGTGGTTTCCTTGTTTTTTGTTTTTGTTTTTTTTGGCGGGGTGGTGGTTCTGTTTGAGTTTTTTTGTTGGGCAAGGCAAAAACAAAACCGGGGGGTGTTTCTCAGGCTTCGGAATGGTTGTCCTTTTGGCTTTCCATGGCTTCGGTTTTGCTGTGTGGCTTTTCGCATCTATAGCCGCAAAAGAGGGTACCCTCAAAAACGTTAGACACACCCCAAGATGCAAAATGGCCATTGTAGATCTGCGTTCCTGCTTGTTTTTTTGGGTGGGGCGTTTGGGCGAGGAAACCGAACGGAAACCAACCACCTGAAGAGGAGGTCCATGGCATTTAAATCTCAAGCTCTCCGTTTGTACATGTTGCTTCTTTGTGGAAGAGGACGCTGAGCTGACAGGGATTACCCCTAATTTTGTGAAATAGCCATAAAGTGCAATGCGAGGTTTAGCCGTTTCTCCGGGTGGCGGTCCCCTGGATTCGTGTGATTTGGATCGTGGCGCGGTCCTGGAAGTTGGCGATGGTCGAATTGATGCGCCTACAGGCTTACAGGGAGGAGATCCCCCAGCAACAAGCCCATGAACCAGGGTGAGTTGGTAGGCAGATATGTCTTGCGGAGCTAAGGGGCCATGACTAAACCGACATGTGGGATTTGAACTTGCTGTCTAGTTTCATTACTGTACAAGACTGGATTGCTCCAAGATCCGCGAACAAGCAACAGGTCGTTCGCCGTTGAATGGACACGTCATGTCCCAGAGGGCAGAGTTTCAGTAATGACTTGGCAGGGAATGACCTTGACCAAGGGTAAACAGCATCCGCTTCCCGGGCAAGCCCGGAGTGCTGCTAAGGATGCGGCTTGAGCCTGTTGGGTTGCGCGAAGCCTCAGTTGCACTGCAGCCTGCTCAACCCCAACCCCTCCCCACCAAACATCCTGCAGGTGCCATACACGGTTCCCTTTCTCTCTCTCTCTCTCTGTCTTGTTCCTCTCTTTGGTTCTTTTCTTTCCACCTCGTTCTTTCTCTTGCTTGTTTCTCCTCTCTTTCTTTCCTTCTGCCTCTCTCCCTCTCTCTCGTTGCTGTGGCCTTGTCGAGCCAGGTCTTATTTACAAGTCCCCCTGAAACAGCAGCCCGTGAAAAGCTTACTTCCATTTGCTTAAGCCCGCAAAAATATGCATATTTCTCACTAGCGATAGACTCCCTTTAAACCCAAGGGAAACAAAGAACAAATCTTGGCAAATGGAAGTTTCTAGTTCCACTACCCGTTTATATATATATAAACAAAAAAACGGAGGGCTGCGAGGCTTGGACCTTCGGCGATTGCCCAAGCGGCCGTCTGGGAAGTCCGCGTGGATTTCGTCGATCTTGCGGAAGGCCTGAACCAAACCCGCGAGCTCCGTTGGAAGAACTGGCTGAGTGTGCTTTGCCTTCTTTGCTTCTTGAGTCGGTACCCTGCCAGCTTGAAAGGAAAATTGTCTTCCAGGATCTTCCAGGACACCCCTGTCAGGTTCCATGTTAACATGCGATAGTGCGAGGGCGAGATGCACCTTTCCCGGACTTAAACTGGGGTCTCGAAAAGGGACAACCCTGAGAATTGGTGGTTTCTCGTTCTTTTCCTGTTCAAACCGGGCAAAATCCTGCAAGAGCGAAACACACACGCACCTTGATGGGTGAGAAATTTACACCTCCCCCGATTGGTGCTTGGGATGGGTGCGTAGGTCATTGGAACCACCTTGGGCTTCCAATCCAGCCACCAATCATTGAAAATCCAGAGTACCAACTAAATTTGTAAGGTTTGATTCCTGTTAATCCATCGTTCTTTTCCAAAACAAGCTGAGGATTCCTGGCAAGAATGGCTTCCCCTAGAATGATACTGTGGACGCCAGAACATGGCGTGGGTTGGCATATGGGTCGTCCCAGTGTTAATCGGGTTTTATTGTGTTCGTTATTCCAGGGTCAGCAATACTTGATACCCGGCGCTCTATTTTGTGAACCCAACATGGTGTTCTAGCTCAGCCGGAGCCTAACCACAAAACACGCGCTTGATGCATTTACCCTGGGATTCAAACCACCATTAAAACAATGGGGGCTCATATAACCACCATTGTTTACCTAAGGATTGTCATCATCCAAATTGGGTCAACCTTTCTTTTCATGGGGGTTGAACCCCAGGGTTTAGTGAACCACCTGAAATCAACTCCCAGTTTTGAGGGACAATGGTGCAAATGGACGCCGCCATCGTCCCAGCCGAAGAAGGCAACAGCGTCTCCGAGCTGACCGGCCTCGTCAGTGAACCATCCTGCGGTCGAAGGCAAGATTGCTCATGCCGCATGCCCAGTTGCACACTGACGTTGGTAGGAGAAGGGGTCCTTTCTTCTTGGTTGACGTTGGAAGGGGGGCAAAAAATACATTTTAGCAGTTAAGTTGGGATTTCCCACTAAACCACAACAAACAAAAATGGAAAAACAACCCAACAACAACCATGTCTTGGTGGTTGACTTTTTTTTAGTCAGAGCGCACCACACAAAGCGGGAAACATTGGGTCGTTGGCTCTTAGAATGGCTGCATACTCGCCCAAGAGCCCCGGAGATGGAAGCGCAACACCTTTCGGATTGCGCAGGTAGATTTCCATTGGTTGACACGTGGGGTCCGTCTGGATGATGACTTTTTGGTGTGATGCCAACACATTCAGGGTTTCTCCCAAATTTAATGACATCCAGGTGGCGTCCTTTGGGCTTTGCTATAAAACAACTCCCTATGAGACAAACTCATATCCATCACAAAGTGGTCCCCTTTGACGCCTATGCCTTGCCAAAAGGGAGTTTTTCTCTACACATGCTTCTTTTTGGGTCTGCCGCTGACCACACAGTTTCTTAAGCCATGCCCTAGCCCACGGCAAAGGGTCGGCAGGGCACAGGCAGGGCATTTTTCCAAGCCCCAGATCTTCAGTGGATGTCCGCATGTCCTTAGTGCGTGAACTCACTTCCTGAGCCGAGCAAAGGAAAAACCTCCTTTTGTTTCGAAACTTGCTTTCTTGGAAAGTAGCTCAATTCCCAGGATTTCAGGAGCCTCCGACTCCCCCCTGGGCGTGTCTTAAGACTCAAAATAGGGACCCTCCATGAGTGGTTTCTAGGGTATCCTCCAGCAAAGGGATCCCTTTATTGCCCCTAAGCAACCCACAAAGGGTATTGTGTCCCACGAGAGGAAGCATTACTGGCTTTGTCGTAAAACATAGGGGACCTTCCATTGCTCCATAAGCGGTTTTTCTTGTCCCCAAGCAACCCACTTGTAAAGTATGCGCCAGAAAAGGGATGGCTTTGGTGTCATTTTCTCTTGAAAAGGGGAGACGCAAGTCCGCGATGGCCCCGGACCCTCAGTCCTCCCAGCGCCCTTTGATTGATGTCCTTGGGGCTGCCCCGCAGCGTCTGCAGCACCTCGCAAGCTGCCGAGCTGCCCCGAGCTCCCCCAACCCAACAACCCCCTCCACGTCTGGGGGAAAAGAGGCGGCAAAAGATGCTACCCCGTGGGAGTTGGATCTGTTCCGATTCCGAAATTCCGATTCCGTTCTCGCTTTTATCGAGCCTTCTCCAACGGAAGTGGACAAGGGCCTGAGTTAAACATGTTGAAGCTACCTGCCCACGTCCATTGGAAAGAAGAACCTTGGAAGTGTGCTTCTCTTACCATGCCCCAAAAAAGGTGGCTGCACAAATAAGACTCTTTTCGGTGTCCGACGAAATCATGTTGAAATCACTTCTATGAGGGGGCGGGGATTCTCGCGTCGCGTTTACCAACCAAAAGGGGTTGAGAGGAATACCCACTTTTCTGTTTTGGCTGGGTGGGTCCGAATCCTAAAAAAAGACGCACCCAAGTGGTCTTATGAAGGCCGTGTTTGGAGGGAAGCCGCGGGAGGGTTGGGGGGAAAGGAGCCAGGATGTAGGCAAAGCGTCACACGCTGGTCAACGCCGCAGGTTTGTTTGGCTTCATTTACCAGGGTTCCATTTGGGACCCGACTTTCCACCCACGACCAAATGAGTTCTATGTAGGGGACAAGTTCCAAGCTGCACTCGCCAAGTTCGGCCAAGTTCCCTGGGAGGTCTACGGGGTGGCTGCCTTCTCTATTGCTATTGCAAGTCAGCCACATTTAGCAAACCCATGCGTAAATTGCGGTAGAACAAGGATTTCCGATTTGCTCGTTCCCTTGCTTGTAATTCTCCATTTGCTTCAATCCCCCGGAAAAAAAAAAAAAAACATAGCTCCAGTAGTGATAGATTCCCTTTAACACCAACAGGGGTGAGTAAAAAAAACATCATTTCAGCCAATAGAAGGAACATGTGTTGGGCATCCGTAGCTACCTCAGCGCGGACCATCTGAGTAACCTTTCAGCTGCAGGGCCCAGCCTCGTACCAGCCCTTGTCGCGAATCTCAGCTGCAGCAAACTCTCACTTGCGAGGCTCAGCCCAGAGGTTTGGTTGAAGATCCCTTCGGAAACCCAATGTGGACCCGGAATATTGAACCCATCCTAAGGGGAGGACGGGCGAATTAATCCGGGGTCAATGTTTGGTTGAAGATGTTGACCCGGAATATCAAACCTATCCTAGAATAGGGGGCCCATTCATAGGACGGGCGAATTCATCCGGAGTCAACATGAGGGGCACTAGGTCTGGACTCTTCGCTACCCAACAAAATGGCTGGGCAACTGCTTTGTCCTTTTCCCAAGGCCCCAAACCCTGGTTGCGTGCAAAGAGCTGTGCTAGAGATCCTTGCGTTTCCCAACACCGCACCCTTCTACTTTGGCTGGATTCCGCTGAGTGAGGCCTCGTTGGTTTCTTCCTTCAGCTACCCACACTCTCCAAGCAACCAAAACTACCACAAGGGCATAAACAGGTAGAATGGGTTTGGGGGTGCGGATTGAAGGTGTCATCCTCCAACTTCAAAGGTGGCGTCCTACGCACTTCCCCTTCTCTGTTTGACCTTCAGGAAGGTGCACCGCTAAGTGCTAAATTGTTGGTTTTCTCTTGGTTTCCCTCTTCAGGGTTGCTCCAACGTCGCAGGGTTGCTCCAACGTCGCAAGACTAGTTTGATCCCTGGCTTTAAGGAAAATGAGGACCCTTTTGACAGAGTGTCCACTCTTTAATCACCCGGATCATCCTTTAGGATCCTTTAGGAACGTCTTTCCTAACCCAAAACAATCCGATCCAAATCCATAACTTACCATACGACCATAACTCTCACAGTGCTTCTTGTTTTAACCGGAAGCGCCGCCCCGGGAAAAAGCTCGCCTCGGCAATTTACTTGGGCAGACACTACAGCAAACAACCCCACCCCATTTTGAGGTTAAAATGCCCACCCGATCCCGTTTCCCGAAGACCAGGTATAAGGATACATCTAAAAACGATCTGCCCTCCATCAATTCCTGCAGTCACAGATTCCCCTTTACAAAACAAAGACATGGCACATGTATCCTTTAAAGACAACGTTTCCGTGTTATTGTGGTCCATATCCCGCCATCTGTAGGCACCGCCTATTTTGACACACCCATGAGAATACAACAAGCCGGAAACGCAGGGATTTCTTTCATGGTTGATCGTCTTGACCTGCAATACCTGTGCCTATGATGGATATCTCGGGAATGAGCCCACTTTCTGGCGTATTTATGTACATACATCATGAATACTTATGGAATAATCCCTGGTACTTATGGGCATTCATGTGTGTGTCTGCTTTTTCTTCTTCTTCTTTTTCCGGACTTTTCAAGTGTTTTCCTGGATTCTCAGAACCAACGGGGCATGCTATATGTGCCACACCTTCCAGCTAAACCTCCGGCCACCTCCGTGCTTTTCCTCCTTTTCCGCTCCTTTAGAAAACCGCGCAAGAGGAGCGCTGGCTTTTGCGCTGGGCGAGGTGCCGGCCACACGGGGTTCAGCGGGAAGCAGTAGCCCTCCCGGGCGCGGTCCTGCAAGAAGTCCCGGAGCTCCGGCTCCGAGACCTTGCGCCAGGGCGGGTCCTCAGAGGCGCCGGCGAGCGCGCGAAGGCGCTGGCGCACGACTCGAGACTCGAGTGGCTTGAAGCTCCAGCTGCTTTTTTTCGGTCCTGGAAATGGGGAATCTGTTTCCAGGAGCGACAGTTCCGGTTTTTCAACCCCAGGGGGGGTGAAATGTCAAGACATGGTCTGTGATGGAAGTTTGCCAGGTCCAGCCCCTCGAAACGGGCCCCAAGAAAGGACACCCATGGGGGCGGAGTCGCCTTCCGGGATGCCCAATCCTTGTAGGGGGGCTCGTGAATGGAGACCCAAAACCCAAAGACGACCATCGTTTGGCCCGACGAATTTCCCAAGAATGGAGACCAAACCCAAAAACTAGCAAATGTTCCTGGGCCTCACTCTCCAAGAACTGGTTTTCTCAATGGGACTTGACTAAACTGATCAAATTTGCCACGGGCCAAGTCGACATGTCTAAGCAAATCCCGGGTGCCAAACCCTCAGGAATACGGGAGGGGAGGGGGGCAAAGATCCCTGATGCAATCCCAGCTGCCCAGAAGTCAGGCGATTGATTGCGTTTGTTGTTCGAAAGCTATGTGAGCGGACCACTCCCCCCTTCGTAGCTCACAGGGACGGAATTGATTTAGGTATCAGGGAACAAACAATTGGCGCCAACAGGACAAGTGGCGCTTCCACCATCTTTGGGAATGATTTTGGGGATCCGTCCTCCGCAAGAAGACATTTGGCTTGTTGCTTTCTGTTGGGGATGGAGGTTTTGGAGTATTGGGCACCTTTCATCTCTCCTGGAACTCAACATTGCAGGTTTCCCTCTTGCTTCGCTTTAAACACCCTGAATACAACACACACCCACAGAATACTGTGGGTGGACGACATCCTGCACCATTTATGAAATCCTGAAACGATGCTTCACGGCCGCTAAATACCAGCAAGCAACGTTTTCCCATTGTTTCCAAGTGGTGCGAAATGGAATTCGCCACCCACCCGCCACCCACAGTGTGGCTCCAAACATTCATGGGTTGCCTCCCTTTGCAGCTGAAGCTTCGGAATACCCATCCCACACCACGAGGAACTCGTCGTCCAGCTCCTGCATCGAGCCGGATGCTTGGAGCAACCGCGCGCTAAGAGCTCCCAAGGCTGGGGGGTTACCCTTTGGCTTTCTGAAGGGTTCCCAGTGGTCTTGTCTCATGTCTTTCAGGGAAAGCCACTGCGCTCTAAAAGCGCATGGAACCTACACAACTGCTGCGGGTTCGCCCGCAAACTACAGGCCTTCAAACACTAGGGAATCCCAAACCTCCAGCGGATTTGCACGGGAAACATGGCGCATTGCTGGTGTACTTAAGCAAACAAAAAATAACAATAAATACCACCGCGCGCTAAGGTACGTCTTCGGGAGGCAAAATAAAGTTCAAACTCTTTTGCGGGCTTCCGGGCCACCCCGAACTGGTACGGGGCCCGTTCCGCAGAACCATCCTCCCGCACAAGACATACCATGACTTTAAGTCCGGCCCAAGTAAACTTTATCTAATTTCCGGATGCCCATGAGACCCACCAGTCGATGAAGCCCCATAGGATAAACCGCCCATCTGGTGCCGATCGATTCACACACAACCTACTCACCAAGTACCTTGAACACCCACTTCCATTTGCTTAAGCCCCTGGAAGATCAATTTCCTCTTGAAGGGACCCCCTGTCCCTGGGCAATGTTCGGACTGCGGAGATCGACCTGAGGGAAGTAGAAGTTGAAGCATTCGGCTCCGTGGCGTACGGCGCCACAGGACGCCGTCACCTGCACTACCTCAGGCAAAAGTGGACTGAACGACTGAAGTGGGCTCCCAGATGTTGTTTTCTTTGGTGGGGTGGGGTGGGGGTTGGGGGTTGGGGCTTGGGGGTTAGGGTTGAAGGGGCGAGGAGAGGAAGTTCCATTCCCCGTTGGCATGCAGTCCCCTTGTGGACCCTGGCACTGGAGAAGTCGCCCTACATCTTCGAATACGCCTCCTGGAAAGCATGAGGACATATTTCCAGTAGCGACACCGATTCCCTTTAACACCAAGCGAGGAAAACAAGACTATACTCATCTCCGCCACCTGGAAGTCGGATGCGCTTGGCGCAACTCGACACCAGCGCTTCGGGACCCCAGCCCCGCGAGCTTTGTGAAGGGAGAGATTCAGCGGGAAGTGGACCAGCGCTTTCTACTGGCCGTTTCCAATTCCATTCTTTTCAACCATCCTTCTTTTCGAACACCGGAGCCGTTTTCCCCGGGTGTCTCAAGGTTCTTCAGAAACAAAAAAAAGGATCCCTGGAAAGAATGGACACTTCTGGAGGTTAGAAGTTTCCCAAAAAGTGAAAGTCCAAAGGTCCCAAATTGCCGGAAGTCAACTCTTCCATTTGCTTCTTCGCCCCCAAAGAAAAAGATGGCAACTATGTCCAGTAGGGAAATCAATTCCCTTCAAACCCCAAAAAACAGAAATTCGAAAAACCAAAACCCAGTAGTGACATCGATTTCCTTCAAACCAAAAAGAACAGAACGTCCAACAACAAGTCATCCCAGCCAACTTGCAATTTTTTTGGGGCACATTTTCCTGGGGATTCTCCACGCTGACTCCGGGCCCCTCCGGTCAGAAACGCCAAATCCGAGGCGCATCCCCGATGAGCCGCACCGAGGTGGGGTCTCCGAAGCCCAGCTTGGGGATGTCCGGGCTCTTGCCTAGTGGAGGCCCCCCCTTTTTCCAGCCCCATTTCTTTGGGGGGTTTGCAGAGGGGAACCCCCCCCCGCAAAAAACAATAAATAAATATGTGCTCCGTTGTGGAGTTGGTGCCCCTTTTCTTGGTGGTTGGCCTAGTGACGCAAAAGGGTGTTTCTTGGCCAAGTCCCTCATCTACCAGCCTTTGCAATTATAAAATCGCATGGATTTGTGTTCTGGCCCATAAGTAACGCTAAAATGTACCAAATTGCTTGAGCAATGTCAGACCAAGTTCCCGAATAAATGACGAGACTGCTTCCAGCATGCACCTCTGTGCCTTCGCTATTAAGTGTAATAACCGAGCGCCGTAAACATCCTCAGATCTACACCCTTACTCTGTGTATATCCGCTCCATATCCAGGTTGGACCCGTACCATTGCTTCATTGCCCTTCCCCCCCCTCCCCATGTTTCTCTCTGAAACATCATCCACTCAAAAGGAAACACACTTCGACTTGGCACCTCTTTCCACACGTGGAAGTGGACGGAGGGCGCCGGAGTGTAAAGCAAGTGCTCAACGCCAAAGGGGACGCATGGGCTACTCCCCTAAGCACACCCACTGCTATCTCCCTGCAGTCTGCGAATAGGTTGTTCAACAAGAGAAGGTTTGTCTGGGACCTTGAGATTGAAAAGAAGGGGCCGGGCCTATACATCAATCCAATCACCAACTTCTTGGCACTGATATGTCAACCCCTGAAAAACCCTGTCTGTCCTCAGCTATAAGAGGTACACTTGCTTTGTTAAATGGAACCCCAACCACCAAACCAAAAAGATCTAAACGCTCCTCCAGGCAGCGGATGGCTGGGAACCACCCAGGGCCCTAAGGACCAGCCGCGCGGTTTCAATCTCCCGTCTCCCGCCTTTCTTGGACGCCTCCTCCTTCAGCACCTGGAGCCAAACCAAGGCGTTTTTGACGTGTCATGCCCGGGTGGGGGTGGAGTGGGGTGGTTGAGCCGTGACTTTGTGGAGCCCTGGAAGCAGGTGTGAAGGGACACCAGGAGATGAAACGAACACAGAAGCTTGGAGAGTCCCCCTTTTTTTGACGCATGCCCTCGAAAACTGCTGAAACTGCAGGAAAGAACCGGCAGAACAGAATAAGCAAAAACACGACGCCTCCAAAACCGCGCGAACTGATTCAAATGCGCTCCAACAAACCCTCCTAAACCTTCCCAAATAACAAGGCAATGATTTTACAAGTTGAAAGAACACACTGGCTGCTCTTGCAATGCGGCCCCAGCCCTACCTGGAAACAATCAACTTCCAGTAGTGACAGGTTCCCTTTAAGACCAAGAGGAGAAAATCAAGCATATTCTTAAGCAAATGGCTGTAAAGGAACCCCGCAATCTTAACGATTTTTGGCCAAGGTTTAGCTCCTTCGTCGGGGTCTTAGGTGGCTTCCGGGATGCTCAACTTCGCTTGCGAGGGAACCATTCGCTGGCCAGACTGGTTTCGGGAACTATGTTGCTCGACCACATCGATGCCGGCAAGGAAACATAAGGTCAGTCCACGCTGCATAGAAACCCACATCAAGCTAGAGGAACTTGGGACCCCGGCTCGGGCTCATGGAAGGTTGTGGTGCATCCGTGGATCCCAATAGAAAGGAGGGCCAAGGAAGGGGAAGGTTGCGCGAAGTTTGCGTCGGCAATCAGCTGCTCCGCGGGTTTAAAGCTGGGAGCACGAGGCGCCGGATCGCTTCTTTCTGTTGCGGATCGAAAGCCACCGGGCGAAACAGGTTGGGGTTGTTTGGGTTCAAGCGAAAGGCGCTTGAGAGGAAGGAGCCGCAAGCACACATTCAGACATACTGTGGACGAAATCCTCGGTATGGCATCACCGTTCAGAAACCCAACGGAATGAGCTTTTGAGTTGTTTTTTTCCGCATTTTTAAGAACAAATTCACCTTCTGGTTTCCCGTGGTTTCGTAGGTCAGATTTCGCAACCTTGCTTTCTGGCATTGATCCGACCTGCACCTTCATTTGAACACTTATTTTTGCTCGATGTGGTTTGTCACACTTTTCTGGCCGACTGAACAAATATGGGCCGGTTGGGCCGAGTTGGAAAGAAAATGACCGATTCTATGGAAAAGGGACGTGGCTATCCTTGCAGGCTGTTGTTTTGCATGGACGGCCTGCAACTGGCTTGCCATGCGGGTGATGATCAGTTTGCCCTACCTGGACAATACTTCTGGATTGAAACCCTGGATGTCGCCAGCTGATGAGGCAACAGAGCTGGTTTTGTGTGATCCTGCAATTCTAGATTTGACCACTTGTTGAGATTTGCGTCCGTTTGCGGGTTTTTGCGTCCGTTTTGCGGGTTTTTGTGCCCGATTTACGACATTTTTGGGGCGCAAGTTTGCGCAAAAACAGCAAATGGTCAGACCAAAGGCCAATTCTTGCTTCCAACTCCTGTCCCTGTGCTGCGCAGGCTCAGCTGCCACGAAAAGGCTTCACAGGTAGGAAACGCACTGTTTTTACAAAAAAAAGTGTTCGTTTCTCAGAAAACTGCTCGATTGTGACAACGACCAGTTTTGAAGGCCACTTCCAGAAAAAGTAGTCGATGTCCCAATTGAACAAAAATACGTGACCGCTTGACGCTGCAGGGAGGTCTTTTTGACCTTGCCCTGCCTTTTTTGGTTCGTACACCAGGTCCCGAGAGAAAACTTGTTTAGACAGGAATTCCGACCATGTCCACCAAAGAGTCCCCTAGTAAGATTCATATAGCCATCGGTATTATATATATATATATACACACCTATTACATATCATATGTCTACATTGTGCTATCTTTTGTATAACTGTGTATCTCTAAATAAAACATGCTGTATGCGTATATATATATATATATGTGTGTATACACAAATCTCCGTCTGTACAGGGATTCCCCTTGGTCCCACAGCGCCCCAACCCCGCTGCCTCCGTGCCCCAAAACGTATTTCCCCGGCCTCCAGCCACCGGGATGTCCATGCCTTGTGCTGGTGCATGCCGATGATGTCCGCCGTGTGGTCCAAACACCACTGCATCAAGTCCTACCAAACAAAACTGCGAAGTCCAAGAAGGCATCCCCCAAATGGGTGCGTCTGTTTTTTGAGTTGGCACCCCTGTTTGCCGTTGAGAGGAAACCAAAAGGAAACCACCTGTTTGGAGGAAGTCCTACCAAAATCTGCGCAGAGCTCCAAAAGAGTCCATAAGGGATCCCCCAATGGCTGCGTCTTTCTTTGACACAGTTTGCGATTTGTTTGAACCACGAGGTTGGAGGGTCCTCCTCTTTTGAGACAACCCAAATCAAGGGGATGCCTGGACGAAGTCCTCTTAGGCACCACCTGATAAACCCTGGCATGATTCGATTCCGCGAGGAAAATACCAACCAACATTGGTTTCCCAGCAGGAGTTCGTCCATCCACAGTATGGTAGCGGGTTTTACCAGCGCTCGCATGCACATCCTTAAACGGATCCCCGAAGGGAACGGGCCTATGGTGAGCTCGTTTTACCCCCAAAGCTCGCCAATCAGAAGAGATGGGTGTGGCCGCCTGGCCCCTTTGAAGTACTTTGAAGATTCCACGACTTGTTAAAAAGCGGATCCATCCCTGGGCAAAAAGGGATGCCTCCCTCGCTCCCGCAATCTAAACTGCAGGGAAGAACACGGACCCCAAGCCGGCCGGAACGAGCCCACAGCCCTGAGCCACCCCACCTCAACAAATGCCTTTACATGTTTGGTCGCGTTTGAATCCGAATCTGCACGGCACTGAGGACCGGCAGGCTCCTTCTGCTCCGGGGGTAAGGGCTCATACTCCATGCCCTCGCTGCCCACCAGAAATGTGTCGAAATCGCTGACCACCTTGGGCTCGGTCGCTCGCTCGGCGCTTGGGAGGCAGTTGCAAGGCTAGGTCCTCCAGAATTTGAGAGGTTTGAATAAGGGTGCCAACTTTTTGTCCGTGGTCTACTTTAGTACCCTCCCCCAAAAAAGCGTAAAAGGGCACTACTGGAAGACCTAGAAGGGGCAAACCCCGCTTGAAGGAAGTTGACTGTGGGTGAGAAGTTAAGCTAACCACTTAGTAGCTCACTTAGTAACTTGATTTCCCCACGTGCAACAGGGTGAACTGAATGACTAGCCAACTTAATTTGGCCAAGCATGGTTGCCAACGGGCGGTGGCTTGCCTTTGCTCAGTTGCCCAGAGGAGCCAGACATAAAAGGTGAACGTTTTGGGGCCATGAGTAGACATGGGCCAAAGTGAAAAACCAAAACGTCAAAAGGTTGTTGTTGGGGGCCACTGAGTTGTTTTTTCCTTTTTTTCCCCACCCGACAGGAAGGGGTTGTTAGATTTTATGTTGGAATCCACGTTTGCGATGCTTCTACACCACGCCCCCACCCAGTATCCCGCCAGAGCAGCTCTCCAGTGGATCCCGCCAAGTATCCCGCCAGAGCAGCTCGTCAGTGGATCCCGCCGAGTATCCCGCCAGAGCTGCTTGCCAGTGGATCCCGCCCAGTATCCCGCCAGAGCTGCTCGCCAGTGGATCCCGCCGAGTATCCCACCAGAGCGGCTCGCCAGTGGATCCCGCCGAGTATCCCGCCGAGCCGCTCGCCAGTGGATCCCGCCGAGTATTCTGCCAGAGCGGCTCGCCAGTGGATCCCGCCGAGCATTCTGCAACAGAGGCTCGCCAGTGGATCCCGCCGAGTATCCCGCCAGAGTAGCTCGCCAGTGGATCCCACACAGTAGCTCGCCAGTGGATCCCGCCGAGTATCCCGCTGAGTATCCCACACAGTAGCTCGCCAGTGGATCCCGCCGAGTATCCCGCTGAGTATCCCTTGCCAGTGGATCCTGCCGAGTATCCTCCCAGTATCAAGCCGGAGCGGCTCGCCATTATTCGCCAGTGGATCCCGCCAGTGTCCCGCCAGAAAAGCTCGCCAGTCTGGTTTTGCTTAATGTCCCGCCCGGCGCGCAGTGGGGCTGCCCTCGTGTTTTGCGAGAGATCGGAAAGGGAAGCTTTTGTGTTGCTTTGGGTTGTGAATAAGCAACTTCGTTTAATCCCCCGTCAGGTTTGTGTTTGGAAGGGGCTTGGCTTTTGTTAACGGAACTGATGTTTGAGTTCTCGAGATCAGTTCGCAGACAAGTGGAGTTTGACGGTCGTAAGCTCGTGAGTGTGGAGGGTGGGGGTTGCTCGAAGCGAAGTATTTTTTTTTTTTAACGGGTCACAAAAATGGTCCCAGCACAATCATCCCTCGTACCGGTTCCCAAGCGTCAAGCAACCACTCCACGGATATGTTCAATGCAGTATCAGCGGACCCTCGCTGACACACATATGAAATGGTAATGAGTCATGAGTACATGGCCGCTAACCCAGTGAACTCATGACCCTGAGATATCTTCACACAACACTTTTCTTGGGCCCAATGGCTTTAAGCACAGCAACCTGAAGCCAGTAGACCAGCCACACTCAACATCACTTAACCAAACGGCAGTCTGGAAGGTCAAGGAACACATACCCCAAAGCTATCCCAAGCTTTCACCAGAGATGGGCTGCCTGAGGCCTGAGGCTCTCGCCGGCAGCACTTGTGCTTCTGCATAAGCCACCAGCAGGCCCAAAGGGTTCATGGGATCTGCCAGGTCGTATTGGTACAGAACCACTTCCTCAGAAAATCGGTGGCTGCCCTTGGCTGCAAGGGGCTCTGGAAAACATACACAATACACCTTCGGGCTTCCTGGGGTAATTCAAGATTATGAGAACCAAGGAATGCAGGGTTGTTGGCTGAGAATAGGGCAAACGTCACGTTGTTGTGATCCGCCCGTCACCTCTCCCACTGATGTAAAGCTTGCCCAACACCCAAGAAATATCTCGGTTGCCCAAAGGAGGCCAAGGAGGCAGAAATACAAGGCTAGCCCCTGGAGCCATGACCGAGCAAGGGGAAACTGGCAGGTTAGATCCAGCTGTCAAATTACTCCTGGACATTAAATGTTCTCTCAAATTGGCCTTTGAACATGAATGAGCGGCCCTACAATCTCGTTGTGGTTGGGTTGGGGGTAACTTGGAGCACACAATCGGGAAGGATGTTCTTGGTGTCCCGAAGGAAACCATGGGCTTAAACCAACCAACTTGACCACCCCTTGGACCGAACCGAAGGGCCGGGGCCAACAGCATGCCGAGACTTGCACTCATAGGGGGTAGTGGGGGGGGGGTAGTGGGGGCCCTTTATGGACACCAATCTTTCGCCCGGCTGACATCTCAGGTGTGTCAGCTGTCGGAAGGGGCTCCAACTTTTCAGGCTTTGGATTCGCAAAGTGGAATCCGCAGTGCCTAGGTCCTCCAGTAGAGAGCTTAGAATAAGGGTACCCTTTTTTGCTGTAGTCTATTTTAGTAGGGGAACCCTCCCCCAAAAATGGTAAAACTACTGGGGGAGCTAGTTCCCATCTTTAGCAAAGCAGGACTCTGGCTCGGCTTTGGTTTGCGACTGACATCGGCCAGTTGTTTTTTCGAGAGCATTGGACGGGTTAAGGCCAAAATGGCTTCGGTCTTCCTTTTTGGTTTCTCTTTAAGACCCCCGAACAGAATGGGAAAACCACCCCAAAAAAGGACAACCCCAGAACACTCCCGAATTTGCCTTTGCACCAAAGGAATTTGCCTATTGGTCGACTCCGCTGCGCGCCATGCATCTCTCAAAAGCCTTCTCTGCATGTTTCTGGAATCCGCGTCAAACGGGGGAGCCTCCGGTTCTGGGGGTTTCATGTTGACAGGCAGGGCTAGCCCTTCACACAACTTCTGATTCTTACAGGCATGGCCGTGGCCTACAAAAGCTTGTCGCGAATATGCTGTTTCAAGCTACCTAGCGAAAGCTAGGTAGCTAAAAAAATCTCGACCCTCCCCCAAAACACACTCCATTTTGCCTAAGTCCCCAGGAACAAAACTTTCTCCAGTGAAATCGATTCCCTGTAAAACCCAGGGAAAATACAAAAACATCATTTCAGTACATGGAAGAAGTGTTATCACCGGTTAACCCCCCACAAACACCCCCCCACCCCCGCCCCTGCCGTTCTCCCACCATTCTCTCCAAGGTGCGGGTGCCGAGGTGCCCCGCGAAGAATGGAGGTTCATGTCCTAAGTCGGAATGACGCAGAACGGACCGAAACAGGGTTTCCTCCACATCACACGCTTCACCGGCACACGAAAAGCACTTCTTTTGCGCGCATAGTCTCAAACTGTTCGCAGCTCCACACCTTGACAGGCAAATCACTTTTGGTCAAAACGGTCGATTCGCTTTGGTTGGAAGTGAGTGTTGTTACCTGTGCGCATGGCTCCCATTTGAAACCTCTTGCGCATCGACTGAGATCCGACTCCCTGGTCAACTTGCAAAAGAGAATCGAGATTTGTGGCTGTTTTTCCCAATGATGTACAGGTTAGTTCGCCTCTTCGCATGTTTGATTTCTGTCGAGTCTCCCATGTTGGCCAATCTGCTGTCCAGGTCCCAAAGAGGTGAATGTATTCGAAATGGAGGTCACTTTCCCTTCAAGTTGAGGTTGAACTGCAACGGGCAGCACTCATCTGCCCTTCAGAAGCAGTTGATGCCATAAAAAGGCAACCAACAATCCAGTGGATTTCCAGAGAAAAAGGGCATTGCGAAACAGCTCAAGTGTTTGGCTTGTCACAAAGGAAGCCCATGTACCCTTTAAAGCCGCTTTTTGAGGGGAAATAGCTTTATCTTTCTTGGGGTACCATTGATTAGCCTTTGCAAATGGTCCTGACTGCCTAGAGAGATCCCGGCTGCGCAATGCCCATCCAAGGCTCCATGAAAGCAGGCTCGGATTGCCGACCGGTTTCCCAACCTCAGGCGCGCCGAAGCTCACTGGAGGTCTCTGGGTGTAGTGATACGAACACCGGACATCACCAACATCTGCAAATTCCACTTTTAGCGTCAAATACCTTGGACCAGGGTTGCATAAAATAGGCAGATAGATGAACAAGGTAGCGGTTGATGCTAAAGGCCATGCTAGCCAGCTGTTTCCACCAAAATGAGGGTTGCCAGCCCTACGCGATCGGGTTGGTCGAAAGTTGGCTCTTGGCAAAGACCCTCACGGGAACCCCGCAAGGTTTGAAGGGATAGCTCGGAGTAATTCCGGTAGAGCCTATGGCCAAGCACATGGGCGAATTCGGTTTAGAGGCTCACAGCCGTGCTCTCCTGCGACTAGCCCTTTGGCTTGTTCATTGCCGTACCCATTCGTCAGCTATGAGCCCCAGGACACAGGCTTAAAGCACTGGAAACCAGAAGCCAGCCCAAAGGATCCATGGCAATGGCTCACTTGCCCAAAGGACCTAGAAATAAAAGGTTAACCTTTTGGCAGCTCCACTAAAAATGGACCAAAACGGGAAGACCAAAAGGTCAAAAGGTCGGCTTTGGGCAACTGAGATGGGTTTGTGGTGTAAAAGGCAACCGGCAACGGATTCAGGTGGAAACCGAAGGGAACATCACTCACCCGTTTGTCGGGTTGCCCCATTTTGAGACACCTAAGTGCAGCCACTACATGAAGTCACTTGCGGCATCCCCGTTGGCCACTCACAGAAATAGGCAACTAGAACCCAAAAAACAACCACAACTACAACCATGGCCCTGAAACCAACCACTGTGTGGAAGCACAACAAGAAAAACTTGAAGCCACCCCTGCTTGTGGTTCAACCATGTTGATGTTGGGAACATGGCCCATGTAGAACTGTCTTTGGCTCCCGCCCATCGTTCTGCATCTCACAACCGCTCCCCACACCATTGCAAAGCAAGTAGCCCACCATGGGGGAAAGCTCAGGGCGCATGATGTAGGCCTCACGCTGTTCCCGGGATGGGGAACATAGGCTAGGTTCTCCAGTTTTGGGGTTAGAATAAGGGTACCAACTTTTTTCTGTAGTCTATTTTAGTAGGGAAACCCTCCCCCCAAAAAAGGGGTGAGAAAGGGCACTACTGGGGGACCTAGTGGGGTACTAGGCATGCGTCAAAAGAGCGACGCTCAGATTGTGACTGGTACAATGTTTGCGCTCGATGCGGTAAGTCAGGAGCGCACTCTGTGGAACATGTTTGTCCCCTGCACCCCTGGTACGGTCACAGTGCTTACAACCACAGCAAAAGCAACCTGATGTTAACTTCAGCTTCATCAAATGGGCAACTCTAAGCTTCCCTTTCCAGACGTGATCGATTCCCTCTAAAACCAACAAGGGACAATAAACACCATTCTTGGAAGTAAGCCAAGCTCCCCTTTCAGCGCGAGGCTGGGTGCTATACCAGTCGTCTGCGAGCTGAAGAAATGATCAGTTGGCGTCCTCTAGGAATTAAGCAACCTTTCAATGAAGGTATGGGTAACGTTGACCCCGGATTAATGCACTCCTATTTATTCATATGGGTGTTGCCCTCCAAAAGTGATGAATTCCCACTAAACCCAGGGACAGCCCTATTAACGACCTGGCGCTCTTTAGCTCACCATATCAGATACTGGTTTAGCGCCAAGGTCAGGGGAGCCAACGACAAATTCTGGCCCTCAACAGGGATCCTTACATTATACACCAATGGTGGCCTCCCTTTATTATGGTGTTGCAAAAGCCATGTTTCAAATGGGCAAAATGGGCAAAACTTGTATCTTTTAAGGAGCCCTGCTCAATTGCCTGGGCCCCTTGTAGGTTTCGAGACTCGTGGTTTCAGTATGTGACATGGCATCGAGACAAGAGCAGGCTTTGCTCAGCGCCTTAGGGACCCAGAAGCAAAAGGTGATCTCGGCTCTCGCAAATTTGCGTTTTCGCCCCCCGGAAAACAAAAAAACATTTCCAGCAGTGGTAGGTCCCCCTTAAACCCAACATGTTTATTATACAAAAACACGTTTCTTATCAGGGCCGTTCAAAATGGGCACCCAACAAGGGGCAGGCGAAACGGGTGAGATCCTGTCGTCCAGGCTCGGTCACTCCGATCTCGGAGTCTCGTCCCCGCCTCCTTCATCAAAGGCTCAGGCACCTCGGCCGAGCCGAGAAACTTTCGCTGCCCGGGCCCCCCCGTGGAGATTCCCGGCGATGAGCATGGCCCACGGAAGGAACGCCTTTGCAAGGCTTGGCTAAGCTATGTCGATTTGTCTGTTGTGCTGCTTTTCTATTTTTCTTTTTTTTTTTTGGGGGGGGGGAGTTGGGTTGAAACCCTCATTTCACATTTCTGGAGCCAACCATGCACTTGTGCGCAAAGGCGTGCTTTTGCCATTGATTTGGCTTGGCGTTGCCGAGCCCTGGCTGACTGAATCACTAAGCAAAAGCTGGAAGCTAGTAATGGCGACTGCTTGTTGGCTGTGAAGGATATTGCTTGTTGGGCAAGCACTTTGTTATTTTTTCTGGGGAGGAAATTCTCAAAATAGGAAACGGTGCACAACAAACGTTCAATGCCAACCAGGGGGGGTCCGAAATTCACTTTTGAGAAGCAACAGGTCAGATCCGATGGACTCGCTTTGGTTGCGACTGAGCAGAAGGTGGTTGTTCCTTCTCGTTGACGCGAGAATCACACAAGTCCCCGCGAACAATCTAAGGTGTCGGCGGTGCAAGTTCCAAGCAAAGAGCTGGAAAACCCTAAGCTCCACAACCCACGGGAAGCCGAAAGGAAGCCAATTCCCAGCGACCCTGCGCGCGTCCCGAACCAAAGGCGATTTGGAGAGGCCCGGAATCCACTGTTCGCACGTGGAAAGTCATCGTTTATTATATCTATTCCCAAGCTCAAGCTTAAAGATCCAACTGAGTAAAACACGCATCCTCCAACTAAAAGATACATCATCAGTTGCGGACCCAGAAGTAAAAGGTTCACATTTTGGAGCCATGACTAAAAACAATGTGCACCCAACAGGGGAAACACCCAAAGGTCAGATCCGGTCGATTCGTTTCGGGCCAGTGAGTAATGTTGACCCCATATCAAGCAACACAAGTTGATTCATAACGGGGCGTTTTTGAGTTTAGGGGGGAATCAGACCACTTTGGGAGGGGCCAAAAACCAACCCCATCTTAATAAACTGCTTGGTTGATTAATTTGGGGTCAACACTATCCCAAAAGCAGTCCCCCGAAAAGAACAGCAGTCCGTAACGGGAATGGACCCTGCGATGTTTGCCGAGGGCGGCACATCCAAACCCCAGCTCGCAGGCTCCTTGGCGCCAAGCTTCGAAAAACCAAGGGCTCGCTTCCGATCCCATTTTCGCGGGCCCCCGAAACGCACGTCGCCGGGGACGATGACGAGTTTTTTTCACTCAGTTGAGCCAAAATGATGATGCAAACGCCCAAGGAGTGACCAAAGTCCGAAACGGAACTCAGGGAGTGAGGTGCGGAAAGGACAAAAACCGAAGACTGGGGGCTCCTTGACCCATGCCCCACTGGCAAACCCCACAGTCGCCGGCGGAGAAACCGCACCAGCCGACGGAAACAAGCAAAACGTCGGCCAACCCAAGGCTTTCCCCTGCGAAAGGGTTCTGCATTTTTGGGTCATTCCTTTGCCGGCAAAAGCCAAAATCTGACCCCCAGCAATGCTTCCTCGGCCACATTCAGGCAAAAACCCTACAGTTGCAAGGCTTTTGGAGGGACCTGACTTGCCCCCCTGCTTCCAGGAAGTTCCCTCCAACAACACCTTTGAGGAGGCTTCAACAGAGTCGCCGTCCAGCTCTGGTCTCCAAAAGGGCTCAACAAGGGTGATTTGCAGCCTGGTGGTTTGGTGGTTAAGAAGAGGTGTCCCATTTACACTTTACAAACACCAAGGCAAACCACCGATCCAAAACATCAAAGGGCGACCTGACCGTTTACATGGGGAAAACTGAAAAATGTGGTCAGACTTAAATCAAGATTGTACCATTTTACACTGCCCTTCCTAAAAGTATTCCCCAAGAAAGCCCGGGAAGTGTTGTCTTGCCAGAACGCAGTGGACACGTTTACCTGTATAGCAGGCAACCAAAACAAGCACCCTGTAGGGAACCACCCTTTAAACAAATCAGACGGAAATGATGGATGGTTACCCACAACTCACTTCCTGAGTGCATTGGCCAAAAAAGTCCATACATTTTGTCCAACACTAAAATGGTTTTCGCGAAAAGTGACTCAAGTCCAGGAACTCAGGAAGTGAGACAAGAGTAGCTGCAATCCACTGAAGAGACGAGACGAGTTTTGCTTCTTTCTCCCAGAAGTCGACTCGGCTCGGACGCCGCCGAGGTGCGTAGGAGGAGATGATCTTCACCCGAGAATCCTCGATCTTCAGGGAGGCCTGGCCGATTCGGCCGGAGACGGCGAGTTCCGCGGGGAGAGGGGGGAAAACATCTAGGTTCTCCAGACTTGAGAGGCTAGAATAAGGGTATACCGTATACCTGTTTTATATTTCTATGAGGAGAAACATCCAGGTCCTCCAGTAGAGAATAAGTTGGTAGCAGGGTTTTTCTTTTTTAGTCTATTTTAGTAGGGGAATCCTCCCCCAAAAAAGGGTGAGAAAGGGCACTACTGGGCGACCTAGACATGCAACTCGTGTATCTCAGTTGTCCCTTAGGGGACCCATGAATCGGTGGTCAGCTTTTGGGACCTTTAAAAATGGGTAACCCTTTTTTCCAACCTTGGAACCGTTGAAAAAAAAGGGTCCAAGGTTGAAAAAAAGGCATGCCCTTTAAAAATGGTTGCCAAACCCGAGAAACCAGAAGGTCAACAGGTCGATTCGCTTTGGAAAACATGCATCTGGTGCAAAGGGAACACATGCGAACCTGTTTCGCTTAATGGAACGGCCTGTTTCCAAAAGGCCCCTGCAAGCCTTTGGGGGTCACGCCACAAGCCAGCCAAGCTAGTCTTTGTATGTGGGGAATCGGGATTCGACCCACCTCATTCTTGGGAGAGGCATCGCCACAAAATTTCAATCCACTGGAAAAATGCCCCTGGTGTTTGCTCTTGATGTTCAAGGGAAACCACCTCCCAAAAAAAGGAAGAAGGCAAGGAGGTGCAAGATCAACTCGTTTCGAATGGAGACTCACATCCTGTATAAAAGGGGTACGTAAAAGCAACAGTCATTTTTGGGGGAAGCACCTTGCGAACGGGGGGGGGGTAGCATTCCCAGTCACTGCCCCTAATCTAAGTTGAAAAATGCGCATGGCCTTTTTCTTAGACTCTTAACCTCGTGGTCCCCTTTTTGGGGGGTCCAAGTTGATGGCTCATGTACAAATCCTCCGTTTGCGTCCTGGCCACCCGGAAGACATGGCATATATTTTTCCAGCGGTGAAATCGATTCCCTTCAAACACCAGGGGAAAATGACGTATATTCACTTCAGCAAACTTAGACATGGATGCTACCAAGACCCCCACTTGCCCGAAGCTTCCCCTAGCTCCGGCCTCTTTCAGCACCTTGTGAAGGGACTTCTCAGCCTGCTCCCGGGCGAGCTTGTTCCTGTCAGCCATGCCGGAAGCATCTTCAACCCGATGACCCGCATGAAAAAAATCACGATCGAGGTCGCCCCCCGTTCAGTGGTGGGTCAAAGGGAAACTTACCCCTTAAAACTCCAAGCCCTGGGGAAGTTAATCTTTTACAGACATATAGCCCGTGTTGTGTTTTTAAGAGGTAAGGAAAGAACCCCCATGGTCTGACTGCGGCTACCAGAAAAGGTTCGAGCGCCGGTAAACGGTCGAAACCCGAAAGGTGACGATCGTGAGGTACATGGCTCTGGGTCAAAACCCAAATCGTACCCCCCGGTGCGAACATCCCAGTCCAACCACTAAAATGGACGAAAATGGGTGGTGCACCTACCCCAAAATGGTACCATTGGTGTTGACCCACAGCCACATTGGTTTCCTGGTTCCCTTTGTAAAATTATCTGAGTGACCCTACTTCCATTTGCTGAGGCTCCTGGGGGAAAAAATGTCAAGTAGTCAGTAGTGAAATCGATTCCCTTTAAAACGAACGGGGGAACATAAACAATATTCTTAAACAAATGGAAGCCTGGTTCAGGGGGTCGAAGCAGGGTGGATTAAAACCTAAGGCCTTTTGGCTGCTTTCACACGAGCTCAAATCTCCTTTCGTGGTCCATGGTCTCAGCGCTGCTTACGTTGGTTGCCTACTGCGCACTCAATTGCCTCGGACACATCACAACCCACACAGCCGGTGTTGTGTCTATTTGTTTGGTTGTTCTTGCCTAGGTACAGTTCTCTGAATCAATAAATCCCGGCTGACCATCCCTTGCCCGAGTGAAAGGGTGCGTTGACCCCAGTTGGGCGTCGTCTCCTGAAGAAGATCTTGGTGCGGGCGTCTTTCGGCGAGTCCTGCGAAACAAAACGCTGATGAGGTTCAGGCTGAACCGCGTCGGCGGGGGGACTGGTTGCAAGGGTTCATGGGCTATTTGGGGAGTTGTGTAAATATCCCTGGTTATGACTTCCGGATAGATCAGCTTCCTACTTGGTGGCTTGGTTTGGATGGAGGCGCGGGGTGGTTTTTCGTTTACCCTCCACAAGAACCAGGGCTACACATCCAAATCCAAGCCACGAACTAGGGGTTGCCAGAAAAAGAACTTACAACAGAAGTAGCCAGGGTTACTAGCCATTTTCCATGATCTCCTGCCAGTTCCTCGATGGCGACGTCTTTCTCGGGTGTCTCTGCGCCGAGTGCTAACCAGCCGCACCTGTTTGGACCAGCCAAAGGTCCCACTTACATACCCCAAATGGACATTCCCGGAACACAGAGACTAGATAGGGCTATGTGGGGGTTGTGGCTGGGTATGTAACTAACACCTTGTGAGCAAGTGTCCAAATAGACCCCACCCAAACGGGTAGACCACGTGTTCCTGGACATGGCGAAACAAGCAAAGAATCAAACAAGCGATCAATCCAAGTTTTTAGCCTGTGTTTGTCAACTCTCGGAGCAACCTGCTCTCTCCAAAACGGCCACGCAAGGCTTGCAAACGCCTCCTTGGGGCAAAAAGCAACGGCTTGGGTTCCCAGCTCCCTGTAAGGAGCCCTGTTCGGAAAATGACATGAAGGAATAATGGGCCTCTTCCAACTTTCTCCGCAGGGCGACGCCTTCACCAGTCTGAACTTTTTGCACCTTCTGACTCAATCCCTTTACCACCATGGTGACTTCCTTGTACAGGTGGGTTGACTCATCCCCTTAGTTACCCTGGAACTCGCGGCGAGCTCGCGCAACGTCACGTCCTCGAGCTCGCGTTTGTGCTCGTTGTCACCTGCGGCGGTGACGGCTTTCCAAAGCCCCGCGGCTCAAAGGACTCACTCAGAAATTCTGACGCCAGATCTGAGTGGAAGCCGTCCTAGGGAGTGAAACCCTCTCCCTCAGTCTGAATCCAAGACACTGGGGGACACACCCTGACCATCCGAGGTTCTCATTCATACTGCTTCTGATTTTGCTTCACCTACCCGGATATGAAATAGTTTCGGAGGAGACGAAGAATCTTATGGTTGCCTTCCAAACGGGGCTCAAGATTGCAAAACCAATGGATGGGTTGTACCATGGTACACTTGAGCACCTTTCCCAGCATCGCGTGAGAAGAAACCTTGAATAGAACTGGCCCTCCAAGGGCCTACAAAGGCCAAACCAACTCACAGCCAACTCACTTCCGATTGAGTGAATTGGCCGTCAAAAAGCTGTTCTGACAAACACTGAAGGAAACAAACTCGCTTTGGTGTTGGAATCTGGCTGGTGGATTTCATGTTAAGAGGGTGGCGTCTCAGGACTAGGTTCCGTGTTTCAACAGGCAGCTGTCGCGTAAAACTGGCTCCCATCTATCTAAACTGGAATGGCTCGTTGTTTCCACAACTTGCTGGTTCTCAGTAAGGCCCCAACCGGGGCTTTGCCTCTACCTTTAGGGAAATGTTCAGAAATCAACCTGTTTCCCTTAGCTGTTTCTTATTTTATTGAAAATCAGATGGGTTGTTTCGTGGTGATCCTCTCATTCCCTGCCCAACCTTCACCAAGCCCCACCAAAAGCCTCGCCGAACCGAACCGAAGATCGTCTCGATGGGATCGCTGGGCTTCCGGCTGATTTGGACGAAGGGGACGAAGCCCGACAGCCGGTTCTTCTTCGCCGACCTGCAAAGAACGCTGCGAGAGATTGCAAGGGCTACATCTTCTTCCTGCATGAAATTCTTTCTTGAGGGTGGGTTTGGTCCCAGTGGCAACCATCTCAAACATGCATTAGCAAGTGGCAATGAAGTTGAGTATGGGATTTCCCCATGAAAGACGTCCACAAGGCTTCGGACTACCCAAGCTCCGAGGCCCCCGCTTGCCCTTGACGTTCAGGCCCTTCCCAACTCCCACCTGCCGTGTGACACGCTGCCCTGAAGAAGACTTGGGACGCACCAGTGTGCTTGGAACCTGACAGGGGGCCTCTTTAAAAAGAGAATGGTCTTCCAGTACCTGTCAGGTTCTTTTTTATTTGGTGCAAGGTTAGCACTCAGGGCCAAAGTGGAGACTGGAAAGGCAGAAGCGCCTTCCTCCGACGCGGACATCCATCTCCGAGCTTCCAATCCGTTGCCCCTTAGGGACCAGAAAAAAAAAATTAACCTGTTTGGGGCCAAGGCCTAAACTGGACCAAACAGGGGAAACCAAAACGCCAAGAATAGGGTATGGAGCCCCCCCAAAAAAACGGATTCCTTTTGGTTTACCTGTAAAACAATGCGCACCCAGCATGGCCAGGTGTTACCTATCGCTGCCCTGGTTGACAGTAGTGGCATCCCACAGTAGACTGGCTGGACAAGGTTTGTTTATTTCTCTCAAATGGCTCTAAACCACTAATCCCCGGGAAGAACCGGTGCGTACCACCAGATAAGAGAGTGCCGCAAGCGGATTCGTGGTTTGGGAGGGACGGCCTATGATGCCAGAGCTCTTTTGAGTCTTTTTTGGGGACCCCCCCAGAATATGTTTCCTTTTAGTTTCCCAACCCAAAACGGGGGACCCTCAAAAAACGCACACCGATTTGCTCATTCCTGAAAGCCAGACAAGCAAGCAAGGCAATACAGTACGCGTGGGTCTTGCCAAGCCCGAGTCTTCCGCACCAGCCACACCCAAAGAGATAAGCAGCCATTGCCCCAAAGACAACGACAAGCGGATGGATCACCAGTAAATCTTGGGTGTTGTAGATCCCCCAGCAAAAAGTTTACCTTTTTTGCTGGGTAAAAAGGAATATGAAGGGAATCCAAAAAGTTAAAGTCTAAAGGTCCAATCCCAATAGCGGTCGATAATTGCAACCTTTTGAATGGGGAAATCAAGTACCCCCTGAAAAACCCGCGCCGTATTTCTCAACTTCGACCTCACAACACCCAACAAGGCCTTCATGGCCACTTTTTCAGATGGAGCAATGGAGGGTAGACGAATTGATAGGTTTCAGAAAACCCAGTTTTCACCACGAGGAGGTTGGCCAAGCTGCAAACACAAAACCCTCGAGAATTCCCTGCCCAAGTGTCTCCGACATAAACCCAGACAACCCAACTTTTTTGGATACGGGGGTCACTGGATGTCCTTTCAAACGGTGATTTGAAATGGCTTCTGTCAGAGGTTCCAAAAAGGGAAATTGAGGAAACCCTGCAAAGGAGAGAGAGAGAGAGAGAGAGAGAGAGAGAGAGAGAGAGAGAGAGAGAGAGGGGGAGGGGAGCACGCGTCTTGAGGGTTCCATGCTCAATCTTCTGGGGCAACATGGGGGGGTCGTTTTGCAAAAAAGCGGACCTTTTATTCTGAAAAGGGAAATGCCACAAAGGAACAACACCATGCCAGAATATGCCAGAAAGCTGATTCCAATTTTGGAAAACTCAACGAGACCTCTAAGCCCCACCATCTCTCCTGTGATAATGGAAGCTAGCAAAAGGCCTTGGAGACTGTTTTCCTTTTGGGGAAGTCACTTGTCCACTGTCATGGCTCCCATTTGCTTAAGCCCCCTGGCAACATAAACATATGTCCAGTAGTCCAGTAGTGAAATCGATTCGCTTTGAAACCACAAGTTGCAAATAGAAAACATATTGACGGAACGAGGGCAAATCCAAGAGCGCAGCGAAACATCTTCCCACTCGCCCGTGCCTTGCCGTGCATCTTCCGGATTGAGTCCGAGCTGCAGGGGCGGTACACTGCAAACCACCTGGCGGCACTGGTAAAATGTAAACTGCATCCTACATCTACCCCAGTTCTTACTTTTCTTTCTGAGTAAAATTGCGGTTTAGCATCCAGAAGCCTGTCGCCCTTTGTACCAAGACAAGGCTGGTTGCAGCTTTATTTGCTGCCCCATGGCTCCCCAACGGGCTCGCTCAAGCCGCCTCCGGCTGCAACCAACCCGGCCTTGCCAGAGACAGCACAAAACCGCTTTCGTTTTCTTGCGGTAAATCCACTTACAGGCCTGACGTTTTGTTTGACAGTTGGCATCTGCTAGCCGGGCGTCAACTGCCAGTTGCGCTCGCGAAACTTGAGCAGAAGCTGCTCGCTCGGCTTACCGGGCGGTAAGCCGACGTGCTCGCCACGGGCCCGGCAAACAACTCATCTGCTGCATATGTTCGACTGTTCGATGGGCCTAACCGGTGCCTTGGTCATGGTCGGCACCCATTCTTTCCCGAACCGCTGAGGCTGGTGTTCCAATCGCCCAGCTATTTTGACCCATCCTCTCACTTTCGATCGAGCGGATGGCCCGAAATAAAGTCCGGGACTTCAAAAAAAAGTTTCTCAGGGAGTGAGTCCTTCTTTCCAGAAACCACTTGCATTACCACGGTTGAGGTTCTTGAACCATGGTACCTTCCAGCGCAGGTGATAATGCACGCATCGGCCGCAACTGGCGCTGGCGCAAAGGGTCAGGTTCTGTAAATACTAAGGCAAAGGCCCTTGCGGCAGGGAAGGGAAGTTTGGAGTATCTGGTTGCAAATGAAAGCCGAAAGGAACACCTCCCGAAAGGTGCCAAAGAGGGAGAGGGGATGAGAGGGGAAGCCGATTTCTGGGGCTTGGGTTGAAGTTCTCAAACAATTCACGTTTTTTTTTTGGCGGAAGATTGGTCAAATGGAACTTCGGGCCCTGCCACCTCCTGCCACCTCCTGCCACCTCCTTCGGGCCCCGGCGTCCCGTGCTGGTCCATGTCTTGTCAAGGCCCGGCTGCGGTTTACAAGGAGCTCACACTCCTTCTTTTGGAAAGATGAACCGGCTCCATCAAAGTTGTATCCTCAAAATTCCCGCCCTAAAAGTGTCGTTTCAAGGGAAACCACGCCCTGTTGCCAGCAATTTGGAGAACCCAACATGTTAACCAACCAGCCCCTTGAAAAAGAAGCCATTTCGAGAACCCGACATGTCTTGACAGGACCCAAAGCTAAAACCACCGCCGGTCGACCAAACCGCGCCTGGTGGGATGCTTCGGATTCGGTTGGGATCCGCCGAGGCTGCCGCGCGGGCCGCGCGCATCCTGAGCTCGTCGGGGGGTCAAAGGGTGGGGTTTGGGTTGGGGGGTTGGGTTGGGGGGTTGGGGGGTTGGGGGGTTGGGGGGTTGGGGGGTTGGGGGGTTGGGGGGTTGGGGGGTCTCTAGGCAGGGGTCGAAATCTTCCTTGGGGGCTCCCCCAATTTCACTTCTCTATGGAGATAGTCCTTTCCATGGGGAAAAAGGAACTACCTAGAGTCTCCATGACCCCATTTCAAAGGGTCATGGAGACTCCAGGTACACATGAAGATCTCCAGGGGTCGAAATCCCCCCCCTCCAATTCCATCTTTACGGGCGTGGGGATGTCCAAACGTCGTTTCTCTGCGGGACGGAAGCAGGGTGGGTGGGTGAACATTCCCATCCTTCCAGCGAAATGGCCACATTTTCAAGGCGGTTCTAGAGGTGTTTTTAGGTTTTGACCGGGCGATTGATATTTGCAAAATGGCTCTTCACCCTAAGGAAAAAAAGCTGGGTCTTCAATCTCTTCTTTTCGAGCCTTCCCGTTCACAAGGTTCCCACATTTTTTCGACATCAATTTAGAGCACGCTCCCTTTAAATTGGCCCAACAGGCGATGTTGAAAACCAGCAAAAGGTGCGTTTATCCCCCAATTTCCACCCTGAAATGTGACACACCAATCACATTGCGGATCAATTCTTAGCCTTGCCCAGGCTATGGTTGCGCGTGTGCGTGCGCGTAGGCGTGCTCGTGCGTGTGTGCTTGTCCAAAAAGGGGGGGCGCTTGCTTTTGGAAGGAGACAGCGTGGCTCTGAATCCTGGCGCTGTTGACGGCTTGCCCCGAGGCTTAGGAATGACTCTATGTGGGGCTTGCCTTTTTGCAGCCAAGCGATCGAATGGCACCTAAGGTCGCCGCAATCTACACACGGAAAGGGAAAACTCAGATTGATCTAGTGGCTAAGTTCATCTAAGTCGCTGTTTGCCTCGGGCCGGCCTACCCAAAAAAATGTCTCAGGAGCATGAGAAAGGCCTTTGGCTTCCTCCCGTGGCAATAAGCTGTGGGTGGCTCGTCTTTTGATGGTACCCTTTTTTTTTTTTTTGGGGGGGTTTTGAAGGGAAACCAAAAGGACAACCACCAGTCTTGGGGGGTCCCCTAAAAGAAGGCACACCGAAATCTGCTAACATGTTGTCTGGGGTCCTGGAAGCGGTTTTGTGGACAAAGCGTGAAGCTGCATAGTGACATCATGATAGCTCCTGCCCAGGGTTTAAGGGACCCTGACAGTAACCCCCAAAAGAACCAAAACCATGGGCGCTAAATGGCGCTGTTGAAACGCGCCGCAACAGGTCACTTCTGTTTGAGACGCTTACAGGCCATACGTTTACAATTGAAAGGGAGTACGGTCTGCCTGTTCCATGTTGGGAGGCCGGCCAATTGGGAAGCAAGCTTCTTTTGCATCCCCTCATCCCCTCATTCCTGAGTGGATTGGTCAGAAAAGTAAGCAAACTTGATACCACTAAAATGGTCCAATCCCAAAAAGTGACACAAGTCCCGATGAACTCAGGAACTGAGCCAAAAAATGTGACACGTCTTCTATAAAACCCGATTTTTTCTGGACAAGCTGGGGTTCTTATTTTGACGGCTTCTGGGGCCTATCAAAGTCAGAAAATGGGGTGGTTTCCCTTTAACCCACCACTGAACCGGGGTGACTTTGACGGTGAAATAATGAGGCCAGAAGAAGCGTGCCTCAAGTCCAGTTGAGCTCAGAAAGTGCGCTAAATTGTGACAAGTCCTTTCTAAAACCCAACTTCTTCTGAAAAAAAGGTCGCGGGGTTGAGGCGGGGGTTGCTCCCAACTCCTCCAATCTCGGTCCCCGCGCCCCGGTGCGGTAGAAGTCCGCCATGAGCCGCCGGGGATCCGCGTACTCAGCAGCCGCCTGCGGCGGAGGCTCGTCGCGTTTTTTTCGTTTTCTCCGGCGCCGCTTGGATCCCAAACGGATCCAACCGGAGAAAAGAGGTTTCCAGGACTTCCATTTGCTTAAGCTGCCTGGAGAAAATGAACAAATATATTTCCAGTAGTGATAGACTCCCTTTGAAACCAAAAACGGGAAAACATAAAATAGTCTTAAGCAAATGAAAGAGGACCGTGTGACCTGACTTTGATTCTGGGTGAAACCAAAGGCTTCTTCCATGTTAAAGGTGCCTAAGGCGGAAAACATGGTTGGCTTAGCTTCCATTTGCTTTTTGTTCCCTGCCAAAAATGAGAACATATTTCCAGTAGTGATAGATTCCGATTCCCATCAAAATCAATAGAGGAAGATGACACATAGTCTTACGCAACTGGAAGGTTTCTGTATCGAAATGGGGGGGAGGGAACACTTGTCGTCGGCTTCCCTCTAAGCCAAGGTGAGGGCTTGAAAAGATGTACACTCAACCAAGACACAAAATGAATACGCCCGTTGAGCCCAAACAGCCGGCGCGCGCTCACCAGCAGCTTTCAATCTCAACTTCGAGATCGATTCCCGGGTGCACCGAGCCGGGTCCCCCCATCTGCCAAAAAACCATCGAAAAGTCCAAAGGGCCCCCTAGGGAAACAATCATATATGTATGTATATATATATATATACTCACTGGCTGAGTGGATGGCCCAAAAAAAGTAACCAAACTTCTTGTTTACCACTAACATCGTCTTCCAAAAAAGTTTAAAGTTCATGAACTCAGGAAGTGAGTATGTATATATATATATATATATCTATATATGTCCAGCTGCTTCATAACTAGCCTAATGTTTGCGAACTTAAAATAACCAGACTCGTTTTGCGGATAATTCATACTGCGGGTGGACAAAATCCCGCTTTCTGATCCGATACATACCAACCAACGTTCTGGCTTCATTCCCACTGTTTCCTTTCGTGGTGCGGAAACAAGCGGATTTCGCAACCATCCAACAGTATTTAACAAAAAACACATAAACACCCAGGGAAGATGTGCCATGTGCTCATGGCCCAACAACGCCCCGGACAAATGACCTTCAAGGTGTTTTTTTCGTGCCCGAAAACAACAGGGTTTGATAGTGAAATCGACTCCCTCCCAACACCAACAAGGGGAAAAAACAACCCAAATCGTCAGCTTGAGCAAGTGGAAGCAGAGATAACAGTAGACCAACCACACTCAAGCACAAAACAAGAGGGCCGTCAGGAAGTTCAGCAATTGGAAGCAAAGGGGAGTTGTTTTTTCACCGGAAGGAAGCCCCGCACCGAAAAAAATACCCCAAGAAACCCCGGAAAGAGGCCTTCAGCTCCGCCCAGGTGCCCAACTTCTTCTCGAAGTCCTGGCTCGAAGAACCCCCCGTCCGTCCGGCTCACAGTCTTCGACTGGGCAGAACAAAATGAAATCATATTAGTGAAGTGAAAATATACTAGGTCAGGGAAAAATAAGGAAAATCAACTATACTGGAAAGTCGTCTGGGAAAACGAATAACCAGCCACTGGCGGAGTGAAATCGATTCCCAAATTAAACCCAAAGAATATGAACATCAGATGGAAAGGACTGCCGCATAGGCCTGCTTTTAGGCCGAGGCTGCAAAGAGAGAACATCGATCTTTCCAGTGATAGGCTGCCACGTCCTTAACCACAACAAAAGCAAGGGCAACAAAAAGCTTACACTGCTGTAGATGGTTGCGAAATCCAGAATTCGCACCACTTGGAAGCCATGGAAACCAGTGTTTGTCGGAATACATGAGAACATTTTTTCCAGTAGCTGATAGATGTCCCACAAACCCAACAAAGGACATTTCTGGAAGGGAACTTGTGAGAACATATTGATCCAATAGTGATAGACTACCATGTCCTCACCCAGAACTCCTGGCTCACTAAGGCTCACTAGCTCCCCATTCAGCAAATGTTCCAGTACGGAATCGATTCCGCCTAGTCTGGAAAAATGGACATACTTCCAGTAGTGAAATCCATTTTCCCCTTAAAACCAAGAGGGCAACAAAAAACACACGTGTTTTCTTTCAGCAAGTAGCTCTCAAAGTTCAAGGACATAAAAACACATGGAAGGCCTAAATGGAAGACCTGGGGAGTGGGGAGGCAAGGTGTCCGTTACGATGGCTGGAGAAGGTCCACTGGGCTGACTCTTGGTCGCCGGTTTCTACAGGACTTACACTTGAAACCAGGTACCGTGTATAGAATGGATGGGCTTTGGGTTTGTAAAGAACGGATCCGGACTTACCATAACCTCGAGGTTTCAGGTAGAGACCACCAGGTTTAAATGGCCAAGGGGGTGTTGGGCACCAATAAATGCGATCAAACCACAACATCACCTTTGGTGTCCTACTAAAGGGCTGGAACTTTGATATTTCGCCCTACATCGCCCCCCAAAGGGATCTCACCAAGAGTGGCCCAGGCGATGTTGACGCCAGCTGATTCAAACATCACCTCCACCACAGGGGCACAAGAACCTGATGTTTAAAACCGCAAAAAAAGGGAAATATAGGGACCCCTGTCAAGTGTAGGGGGCCGTGTCTAGAACCGACGGGATTCGAGGAGCTCCGTCTTCTGTTTTGGGGTCTTTGGGGAGCTCACGTGAGCAACTTGGAAGCACAGCAACCACACCAACAACCACTTGGTTGCTGTTGACCCCCCCTGCAAAAAGTTTAACTTTTTAGGGGTTGGTG